CACCGAGAGCGCCCTCGAGGGCAAGCTCAAGCAAGAGATGCGCCAGCAGCAGGGCGTCCAGCACTGGGTCATGCCGCCGGATGTCAACGGCCTCAAATTTGCCAGTCCCCGCGCCAGCCCACGCACACGAGCCATTGACCCTGCCGACGCCCTCGGCCTGTCCACAGACGCAACCCTCTTCGAAGAACCCCTCCTTTACTCGCTGGATCGAATAAAGGAAGACGGTCCGTCACCCGACTACTTCTCCTACGATGACCTCGCCAAATCACCATCCATCAAGAGCGAGGGCGAAGAAACCGTCATCACAAAGCACCGCCCCTCTCACCTGCGCACACCCTCAACACCAACCATCGAATCAAGACTCGCCAGTGCGCAAAGGGCATCGCGAACACTTCCGCTCCGCGCCAAGACCAACGACGGTCTTCTGCAACTACAAGCCAACACATCAAAGCCACAGCGCCCCGCCAACACCCACCAACGCAGAATCTCCCTCGGCCTCCCTATCAAAGCCGCCACCGCACAGAACGAGAACCCTCGCCATCACAGCCCGACCACCCGCTCCCTCCATCCATCAACACCCAAGAAGCTACCAAAGAAGAGCGGACCGACATCGGCCATCCAGCAAGAGCGTGATTTGGAGTACAAGCACCGCCACACATTCATCGGCACAGCATCCCTGGACGACTTCCTAGAGGTTCTCGACGTATCACCCGAGCAAAACATCACCAACAAAGAAGCGGTAATAAGGGCGTTCATCCTCCTAGCCTCCAGCGAGCGATTGCTAGCACGACAAGCATCACTCAAGCCCGATGGATGGAGCGTGCTTGCGCGGACATCTGCCGAGACCGTCAACACCGACTACGTTGAGCAAGCAAAGGCCAAGCTCGGGTCCATTGTCCTACGCCAATTCCTCGATCTCATCACTTTCAACGAAGAAGAAGAGGCAAGCGCCATGGCAGTGGTAGAAGCATTCACTGCCGCCAGCCATCTGGATGCACAAGCGAGTAAAAACGAAGCGAGTAGGGCCAAGGCCTTTCGGAAGCGGATGGTGAAAGACGGTAAAGCGCTACCCCAGTCGTAGGGACGCTAGTTTGTTATTCTGTTATGATTTTTGGTTTCTTTTTTCCACTTTTCAACAGTTTGTCTCTGCCCTTCTTATGATAATGCGACACGTATGATGCCGAATGTCTTATGTTATTACTATATAGCCCATCTCCTTCGATTCGTCTTCACACGATGTTCTTTGCCAGTATCAGCATTTTTAGCGTTCCACACACACCCCCATCCCGCTCACCCCATTAGTTTCTCCCCTTCACCAAAGACCCCTTCCACCTCAACACCGACTTTGTCGCAGCACCTAGGATAGCTCAAAATTTCCCCGGCGGCCTTGGCTTGTAAGGCGTGGCTGTCGATCAGAATAGATCAGTTCGAAGCCGATATATCCCTGCTCGATTGTTCAATTGCATGTAAAATTTGTCACCGCTCCTCACCGCTCATCATGTATTTCTAGTTTCGAGTTGTCCATCCGCCAGCGTTCATCCTTGTCAGTCATAACAGAGCCTCACCGTCAACCCCTGTCAGCCTCCGTCTGTCTTATACGTCATCCCGCCCTTGGTTTCTATCTCGCCGTCTGACAACTTGACAGTTGCTGCCTTACACTCACCGCAAGGCCAATCTTATGCTTCGGCAACGTACACAGTACAACCCTCCTTACCGCCCATGCCGCCCTTGACAAGTTCCACTATACCGACACCTCGTCTCAGTCTTACCGCCATGGTCCCGCCACGGACTTGATTGTGATGACTGCTCTCTGGAATCAAGTCATCTATTCCTAGTCACTGCGCCTCTGCAAGTGCGCATGTAGAACGACCTCGTGACAAAGTAGTCGTCTGCAGTCCCACTTCCGCTCTCACGCTATGAACCTATGCTGTTGTCGCAATAATTTGGCATCAATGAAGCCGAAAGTAGGCGCATGAATCACGGTATTCGACAAGTCAGTCCCTTAGTCTAGCTGGACCACGGAAGCTCGCGTTGTAGCAAATATCAAATTGTAGACATAGTAGTAATATCAAAAGTCACCTGATCAGCAGACTCATATCATGTAAAGTCAAAGTACTCTGTGAGATCAAACCTTACAACCAGTGCTATAGTGTAAGATACTAGACTTTTTGATGACGCGACATCACAGTTCAAGCAGCCATCGGCTGCCCTGCATACCCGGCTATCACGGCAAATCTCGGGACCTCGTCGGCTAGTACAGCCTCAACACCACAGCGCACGGCCTGTACACTGATACCTGCGCCACAACAAACATCGTCACTGTGGCGCAAGGCGTTTCCATTTGCTGCTGTTCTTAGCAATTTCCCACGTGCATTATCCTCCCTTTGGTGATGGGGTCTTCGGTTCGCGGCTACTACGGCGCTTCTCGTCGAATAAACGTACCGGGAACATAGCGTGAGCCGTTCATCTGGTTTCTGGCGTCGTCAGCTACTGCAAAGTGATCTTGGAAGGGAACACATAAAGCGCGGAGACCCCCATCCACTTTTTCTGGTTCAGCCACACTCAACAGCCACAACCTCGAACTTCACCACTACCAACCAGACTTATTCTTTGCAAAATCACTACAGCCTAGTTCACCAATACGGATCCCATCACTGCTCGCACAATGGCATCAAGCACAGTCAGTCACACCTTCTTTAATCTCTCTAGTCTTTGTTCCTAACTTCCACGCCAGAGCACTATCCTCCTCTACTTCCTCGCGATATGGATTCCCTTCCTACCTGTCGCGATAAAGCGCGGTTGCACCGCTGATCTCTTCATCAACATCGCATTGTGTATTCTTGGTTGGATCCCTGGTGTTATCCACGCTTGGTACATAATCAGCAAGACGGAAAAGGTTCCGGTTCCCTAGGGGGACCAAGTGGGCAGAGGTATTGAGAATGGGAAGGGAAGGGAATGGCGCTGGGCGTCTTCGGGTGTTTACGGGACCTCAGGAACTTTGACAATTCAACAATATTCATTTTGATCAGGGCAAGTTGAAGTACTCTTTCTTTTTCTGTTCCTGAAAATCGTACCTGACCTGGCGTGCTAAACCTCGGGAATGCGCCACATCTAATTGAAGAGTGTGTGTCTGTGCACTTTCCGCACCAGCACCAGTCCCAGCCATCTCCACATGTTCGCTGCAAGATGCACCACACGTCATCTCTCCTTTATCTCCATACATTTCATCCACCCATCCGTGCGAGTCAATCTTCCGAAATGCAGTTGCTGCATGCGTACAATGCTGTCCGATTACGGATCGGACCTCCGTTTTGATGTTGATAATGTCGTAGATCAGTTACGTTCCCGCAACAAGCTCCCCTGTCTTCCAACCAAGTGCCAGATGCATCTGCGACACCGCGACCTGCTCTGAAAGAGAGGAGTCGATCTCCTGCTGCGCCCCCGCCATGGAATGAGAGATTCCATGTGAACATGCTTTAGTAAATACAGCTCGTCTTAGCAGCGAGATGCGTTTACACGGCCGCCGTCGTCTGCTGCTGCCGCTGCCCAACCAGCTCTCCAATTGCTCAACGCGAACATCGCTGCAAATTCGTCATCGTGTTCGAAACCGCCAATGCAAGCGCTTCAAGTTTTCAATAGAATACTCAAGCGGCACAAGACTTTTCTGAACCCTTGTCATCGTCGTCAGAACCATATGGCACAAGGTTGGGGGAGCACCATGGCAAGACGGTCCATGAAATGCCTGTGAACTTCTTCGACTGGCTGATCAAGAGTGGTCATCCAGATAGGCCGGTAGGTTAGAAGGATGTGTTAAAGGCTTGGTGGGATGAGACGGAGGCGATGGTGTTGTCGCAGTCGCAAGCTATGCCATCGAAGACGCCAAAGTCGTCGCAACCGCAACTGCAAGCTGCGCAGTATCGTAAGCGTCCCTACAGAAACTGTATGTGAGTCTTATGCTAACTCGGTAACCCAGATATAGACCCGTACTCTCCTCATTCGTCCTTCCAAACTTCGCCGTCGCCAGCGCTTCTTCCGCGGTCTCAATACATACATCCGCCGCAACCCACCGCAACCCAGTACTTGCCTAAGGCACCTCTATGCGTACTTCCTTCCAGGAATCATAAGGGAAGGACACTGCGCGAGATGCCAGAGACTCATTTTGCGTTTCTCTGTGTGATGGAGATGTGGCGACTAATATGCCCTTGTCTTGAGAATGCGCACCGGCTGATGGATCAAGGCTTCATCATCTTCATTTGGGCTAAGCCCGAGTAGAGGGCTTCCACAACCTGTGTTCAGTTAAGTCTCCGTGCTGAGTCAGTTATTCCAGGGAACACTACCAGGTCCACATTTGTATGAGTTGTATTCAGACCTCTCTGCTCAGTCCATTTACGAGGATCCTACACCGAGTAGTCCGCAACCTACTGCCTTCTAGCCTCCAGCTTCGCGTGAAATATACCGTTTTTGCTTCGTTAGTCGTATCTGGAACATTATCGTCGAAGTCCATCCTGATTACATGGTCTTACCACAACAACAGGACATCATCGATGATGAAGTAGCACTTGCCGCCAGTGTCGCAGACTGTGGACGACACAGCCTACCCATTGCGACTTAACTCAAGGGACGTGCTATCAAAGCAGCTATGCATAAATCTACGTTTGGTAAACACGAAAGGAAGGTTGTGATGGAAGTACTGGAAGATCATCCCTGTTGGCTTCAGACAACGAAATTATGTCGTGAACATATGGCTGCACGAGCTGCGACTGACCAGGATCGTCGGGAACACAAGCACGAGTACCGCTGTGACTTTCCGTGTTGTTCTTGATATTGGGCGACGAAAGCTAGGCGCTCGCGTAAAGTTCAGCCGCAAACACGGGGGGAGGGGGCTGAAGCGACCAGCTCAGCCTTGTTGCCTGGCACCACAGATTAAAACCTCGGCGCCCCCAAAGTTCTGTTCGATAATTTGCGCTTCCACTTTTCGTACTTGGTACTAGACCTGTATCATGGCTTCTTCCATTAAATTCGCACGCTTCAAGAACGCTACTTTAGAGCTCTTCGAGGCGCCCATCGAATCCACAGATTACATCGCTTTCTCTCATGTCTGGGGTAACTGGGCCTGGCGTTCGACTGATGGTATACCGTACGAGATCAAAGCATCGGAAGAGAAAGCTCATTTCATCGCAAATGACCTACCGGCTTTGGTTGGAGACGGCGCCTTTTGGATGGATACGTTAACTGTCAATCAGCGAAATCCAGCTGAAGTCTCCGAAATCGTGGACAAGATCCCTACGATCTTCAGAATGGCTAAGAAAACTATTGCAGTCAGAGAATGTGACGGGCTGTACGACTGCTGCATTGCTGCTGTTAACGGTTTCGAGAGTGTGACCGAGTTCGTCAAAAAGTTCCATGCTCACGATGATGAGCACTTTGACTACATCTGCGCAGAGTCTTATCTACAAAGACTGTGGACGCTGCAAGAGTGCCTACTCTCCCATACCATAGAATTTGTAGTTGGAACAAACAGTATGTCACGGTTTTTGGCTTCCAAGGTTGATATTCGTGATTGACTAGTACTCAGATCAGCCAAAGACGCCGGCAGTGCGGGCTCAGACTACAGACGACGTCAGCGTATACCGACATCGGGCGGAACGAACGATTCTCGCGGATGCTCTCTGGGTCCTAGCTTATTCGTTCTCCGGCTCTCAGGGCATTCCAGCCATGAATGATTTCTTCAAGGCGTACGTTCATGGCGGCACCGTCATCAACCCTCGTGGCGCACAGCGAACTCAGGAAGAAGACATCCACACCGGTTCTTTTCTAAAGGTCAATCGGGCATCTCATAGATCCGCCACCATGCCCCGTGACTACATCTTCGCGACAATGCCTTCATTTCCGTGGTACACGTACCCGAGCAAAGAGGCTCTAACAATGTCCTTTGGGGATATCTATTTGGATCTTTACCAGCAAGCTGCACGCTCAGGGCATGCTTTTACGTGCAGGTTCACACGTTCAATGATCGACGCTACATGTACAGATCCCGTTATTGGCTGGCTACCAAGTCAACATCTTCCCAGTCCCACGACGCTTGGTGACTTCCTGAAACTTGTCGGACAACGCGTACCGGAAAATTCGAACGCCTCTTCACAGCATGTGCATGTCACATCGGTTGTGCACATTGAGGAATTTGAGTGCGACGATTCCCCAGACTTCGTTATTGCTTTGCTGGAGGCCTCTCTCAAAAACTTCCAAGAACAATGGGAAGAGTCTCATCGGGGCGGTGAGCTTTCCAAATATGGAAGCTATCCAAGCGTCCACTGGACCCTTGACCACCTAGACGCTATACGTTGTGGATGGTTACCTACTGACCCAGAGCATGCAATTCGAGTGTCTGAGTACAACGATCAAACTCTGATTAGGATCGGTCCTGGCCTAGAATACGAGGAAGACGATCTTGTACCAGGCCTTCGCAGTCTCGACGAGACTGAGCAAGAGGCACGTACTGATGAGACCGACAATGTTGCCTCATTGTTTGTGCAAGCGAGGAAGATATTAGACAACATGTGGTGCGCACACGATCCGCACCACATCGACGCTGCGCAGAAGGGTGATTGGGCCAGTTTCAAGCGACAGATGCAAGGTTTGTGGTCAAAGCCTTTACTACGAACTGTGTTTCTTCTTGCTGCCATGGTCAATTGTCGCGTTCCGTTATCAGCCGCAGCATGGGTCAACAAGCTCTTTGTCCCTGTGTACATTCATCACGGTAAATTCCTTCTTTCAGCCGGGCTCCTAGCAAAACACGCACGTCAGCCGAAGCGCCAGAGGCAACAACCTGGTTCCCTGTTATGTGTTGGTCAACATCTCCCTTCTTCAGACCAGAAAGCTTTTGGTAAAAATCTCTATCTGGTAGATGCCAAGTCCAAGGTTCCCGTTGGCTTGGTCCCGGATCTTATTCCGGACGACCGTACGGATGAGAGATTTGCGAAAGTTTCATGCATCATGTATAGTGGATTTTGCAAGTACATGGGGAACAACCAAGTGGCATTTGCGGCTTACCCGCTCAGCAGTATAGAGACCTCTGAAACGTGATTTCTCATTCCCCACTGTGTGGAATAGCAACAGCCAGTGATTATGAGCTGTTAGCGACATGCATCCTTCCAGCAAGGTTACACGGCTCTACTGTTACATTGGTTTCACACTATGACAATATCAGTGATATCAAAGGTTATGCATCTACTCTCCTTGCATCAATGAGGAATAGAAGCATCAGTCTCCCCTTGCGAAATTCTCAATGAAATGATTTCCTGCAAAACGTTGCACTCGCTTATGCAAGACATATTGGCACGCACGTCCAGTCACTTCCCGTAGAGGCTGGAGAAGGATGAATAGAGCTAGATCTCGCTGCATTCATTCCCACAGCACTACATACCATGTATAATAGAATATCCGTACTGGGCTGGAGAGCCCTCAAAGTTCCGGTATCTAGCCACAATCTCATTCTTGTCCTGGGAGGACGTGCAGAAGCGGCTCGAGCTTTGCTTCCAGGATCTCAATAACGGGCTATTTCCACCAGAAGACGAGCAAGATGATGAAGACGCAGATTGCAAGCAGTCCAAATTAGACTCTGGCATCGCCGTCTTCGAGGCACTCTTCCGAGGATCTGATCATTTCGCAGACAAGGACGCTACGACGCAATACATGTCAACGAGCTCGCAGCCACCTTCACGGGGTGATATTCGAGACTCACTCCTTTCTCTGGCCCGTCAGAAGTATAACGACGTATCGAACGTCAATCCTCCATACATGCTCAAACGGCAAATGAACTTTGGTCGCACATTATGCGCTTCACCAACGGTCATCCAGCTGGCCGTACTACAAACGCTTACGATGCCTGGCCCTTTGTTGAACTTGTATCGGTCGGCGGTCCGTTTGCTGTTCTCGAGAGGAATATCATCCTAGCCGATACTCCAGGTCTGGACGATATCAACCTCCTTGCTGAGAGCAGTGTACTGAGTCATCTACCGCGATACACAATCGTGATCATCGCTCGTAAAATTGACTGCATCTTGTCTACTCGTAGCCTTCAAAAGATGATCAGGGCAAGGTGTGGCTGTCCTGTGGCCGTAGTGGCTACGTGTTCGGAGGTCGAAGATCCTTCTAGCGTCGACAAGAACGAGCTTGAGCAAACTGAAGAAGTCCGACGGCTTAATGCGCAACTTAAACAGTGTGAAAGCGAACTCCTGTGCTATGCAGCGACCTCTGGGCACAGACCGTTAATACAGCTAAAGAAACGTCTCGTTCAATCTCTCAAGGCACAATCTTTGTTGACTAACGTAACCAACAAAACTCGAATAAGATCTTGTCACGGACGATCTCACCTAAAGATGTGTTCTGCGTCTCCACACACGATCATCAGCGCAACGTCAGTGGATACGCGTTTGATGGCTTCGCCTCGTTCCCACTCACTCCGGAACGGTCACAAATATTTGCACTGGAGAAATATATTGTTTCGCTCTGTGCGCCGATTCGGACTAAGGAACTTGTTCGACATGTAGCGTTCACGTTACGAAATCTCATACACAACGTAGAAACGAGGTATGATGAGCGTATCACTGCAGTCGAAACAACAATTGAGGGTGGAATTGGTGCACTACGCGATTCATGTCTTGCCAACATTCATCGTTGCATCGACAAAATATTCGAGGATCGTATCGCGGGACAGCTACTAGGGACACCAGAAACTGTCTTGCCTGCGTGCGTTGACGTGGCGAGAAAGTTGTGTCGCGAATCGCTCAGCGGGTTTCATCACAATAGGCACAGAACTTACATGCGAAATGAGGGAAACTACAAGTTGCCCAGATCTAACGTCCGCTCTTGGAATACACAGATGCTCGCGCCGATAAAGAAGGGTCTTGAACCGATCTTCGACGCTACGATTAACAAATTGCAAAACGGTATCGACCAGGTGGAACGAGAAATTTCATCAGCAATGAAGCTTCTAGAACTCAACCTTCGTGCTCAATGCCCGGAACCGATCACTGTTGAGCTAGACACATCCATCCGACGGATCACCCATAAGCCTATCGCACTTCGGGATATGGAGAATGTTTTTACCAACGGCATTACAGCTTTTATGCAAGAACAGAACGACCGCTGCTGTACGGACATATTCGAAAGGTCATACTTTCGGAATGACATGAGCAAAGTCTACGATAAGAGTTACCGGACCAGACCAACACCAGGACAGACAGTGAAGCTCGCACAAATGGAAATGTTTGAGCAGCTACTTTGCGACGCGAACACCAATCCTTTCAACGCTGTCTACACACGTTTGGGAGAAGCTATTGTTTCGGAAAAGCAACGTGTCAAAGATCTCTTGGAAGAGCATGTTGGTGCCTTGTTCCGGAGTATCGAGGAGGAGTTCGAGCGGTCACGAGAAGTCCGTGTGGCCCTGACTAACGAGGAGGCTCAAATCATGGATGATCTGCTAAACAGTACAGTGACGGCAGCAAAGGTGCGAGGGATTCTTGAGGAGAAATTGAAGGAGTGCGGGGTGGACGTGGAAGCCATCAAAGCAGAATTGACTGAACGTCAATCATTGTAGACACGAGTTCACTGTCGCTTCGCAAAGCGGAACCTCAGCAAGTTGCTTTTGTGATGGAGGTTGCGAACCGGGGTTGTGACGGAGGTTGGGATGGCGACAGCAGGCATCCTCCTATTCCGGGCCGACTGGGCAGATCGCGCTAGCTGTTGGCGCCAACATCCCCCTCCAGTTTCAGTCCTGACCTCCATCTTTCCTACATGACACATGCGTGCACGTCTACACGCACTCGAATCGCATGTGGAGACCACGAATCGTACCTGGACATGATAAAGTTCCGGCTCTTTGATCCGCTGTCAGGGTCAAAGGCTCAACTACCGCCTGCCACCAATCGACCACCGACCAAAACATGAGGCTGTCACTTTAGCGCCGTGACCCACAGCCACTCCTTTTGCCATACACGCCATTTTTAGGGTCTGTGTCAACTGCCAGGCCCTGAAAGTTTTACAAGACGCATGGGGCACGTAGCTTTGGCTAGCAGGCCTCTACGATGTTGAGTTTGAACATCCTGGAAAGACGTGACGAAAGCTCGTTGGGTCAACTTGCTGACAGCCGTAAGAATAGAGTTGGCGGCCCGGTGGGTGTATGCGTTCTCGTCGTATTATCTCTCCCGTCTCCTGTAGCTCGCTCCTGGTTACCAGTGGTGCGCTGGCACAGTGCCATGTTCAGGGTAGCGCCGGTCATTTCTACCACCCTGGTTCAAGAAGTCCAGCCTCGAGTCGCCCAGCTCCAAGACGCAACCAATGTATTATCTGCTCTCCATCTATCTAATGTTCCTTCGATTCACGTGTCCTTACTCCCTCTTCATGTTATGTGTTTACATCATCGTTGAGCTTCGTTTCCCACTTGCGTAGTCATGTCAGCTGGCACTCTTCTCTCTCTTGTCTAGTCTTATGTCCTACAATATCAACATGAATTACGTCTGTTCAACTGTGTAGATGTTGATAAGGCTACACTGTGCGGTGGTATTCGTACCACGAACGTTCTGAGATTAGAAAGCCCGGCTATTCTGCACTCTACGCAGATATTAGCAACTGTGATGCCACCGAGCTAGGGGTTGGAAAACCTCTTCAACGATTTAGCAGTGTGTTACTCCAAGATACTATTACCACTACTAGATGCTCATATGAATCTCGATATCGCTTCTCGACGCTTGGTATGATGAGTGACGAGAATAACGTTTCGGGTGATTTGGTGCAAGTTTTGGATTGTGCACCTCGAAGCTTGACTCCAAGCTATGCTATGCATGATATTCCACGCAAATCCAAGGTGCGAAAGACTGTTTCTATTAAAAAAAAACCTCATGTCTGCTTCGCTTGACCATCAGATTTCTTTCTTGCACTTGCGCCTGGAGACTAGATTCCCAAACCGCACTCTCTAGACATGATCAACTTCGACTTACTTTTCCTTGCTTGAACTCTACTACTCTCGTATACCACTACGCTTGTAGACTACGTTTATTCTCAACTCCATTGCTTTACGCAACCACGCATCATGAGTCTTATACCTGTACTGTTACTCGTACTATCATCACTCGTACTCGCCCAGTATAACACCTCCAGGCTCATGGATACAAACACAGCTGCGACATCGGAACCCGGAAATGTTGGTAGTGATCCGGACTGGGCGAATGCCATCACTAGGGGGAAAAGTCCCATGTGTCGTCTTGATGCTGCCAACGAAGTCGCGGGCAGGTTGTAGCAAGATGCTCAAAATCCACCTTCCGCACTGGCTCTATAGCCTAATCACACGCTGGGAACGGATCTCAAGCTATGAAGTTGGTATCCTAGCGACTGGGATCAAATCGAGAACTGTAACTTCGGTGACGACGACAGCGACGGGTTAGCACTACTAGGTAAGCTAATAAAAATTACCCAAGAGCTTAGCAATGTAGTAGACAGGGTGATCTGTACGTCAAGGCGGATCCAGATGAATTTTCGAGCATCGCAGACAGTGTTGATCGACTACAGGGAATCCTCGCGGCGGAACGCTTGCTTTCTTGCTTGCACAACACAAGGCTGAACTCGGCATAAAACACATAACAGCGGTGACGATCTTTCGCGATAACAACGACGATCCCGATAATAACGATACGTATGTGTACATGTTGTACAAGATCGAAGACATATAAGAGATAGATATCTCAGTACAAGCCTGTCGTATCGGCGACGTTGTGCTACCTCGAGAGCAAGCCGAGCTCAAAAACATTATCCACACTCGTAAAATCGTCATCGGAGATAGACACTTTTCCATGAGGAGCACGTGACAGTCGGATGCGATATGGGTGGATGCCGACTGAGGGTTGTGCAGAAGGAATCGAGATCGTAGACGACAGTCCCTTACATGCAGGTGTTGAAATTGTAGGAGAGCGCGTCGGACAGCGCAATGTTGCTAGTCTTAGTATGTGCGATAGATATCACGTCCCCGTGTGGAGGAAATAAAACCCACCTAAAACCAAGTCTGCTAGGGCAGTGTCCTTTTTTGTGACGTACACGACCTCCATGTTGCAAAGACATTTACCGACCTCACACATTTAGGATTCGTGTGACCAGAGCCATCGCATGCAAAAAAGCAAGCAATGACGCCAATGCCCCACCCGTGCACTAAGCATTCTCGCTAAGCAAGGCCCCGCGGCATCCCGTTCCATGACATCACAGCCACCCTTCTTGCAGTTCATTTCCAATCACCTCTCAACTTTCCCATCCTCGTCTTTTCGCCGGACCCAGCCGGTACGCTGATTAATACTGCATTTGTACGACGACGTTTGGTCATTTGCTAGGCTACGGCTGCGCGTGGAAGTGATAAGCTTCAGCGAAGCAATGATGGCGTATGATTGACACTAGGGCCTCGACAGTTGGCGGGTGCGTGTTTCCCTTGTGGGCCGGACAAGGTTGGAGACGGGGTTAAGATTTAATTTGATCTGTGATGGGGAGGATGGGATGCGCGCCATATCAGTTGACGTAGGGTGGTTGGCAAGCGGACCCTTAAGTATGCAACTGCCGTGAAACCTCAGCTGGAGGCTCGATACTTCCGCGCGGTGACTAGTTTCCTTCGGAGAAGAACCCAACGGCCCTTTTTGTTGACCGTTTCTTAACGCGTCTACTATCCCAACCTTCCGCGCCCGCCCTTGTCGTTCTTCATTCTATCTGTCCCACCACGCGCACTTCGTTGAACAACTCCACCTCACATCTCATCACTAGCATTCATATCCAGTCAAGATGGCGGTAATATGGGGTCTCGACTTGAAGGAAATGCAATGGGGCAAGTTCAAGTCCGGGTACATGTTTGGGAATACAATGTACCACAACCGCCGCACAAAGTTCATCATCTACCAACTCGCGATGATTCTCTGCGTTGTCAGTGAGAGTTTAGGAACGGCAGCGCTATCTGGTATGATACATCCTTTTGCATACTCCTACTCCTGGTGGCTGCAAACGATATGTGCCACCATTCCACGTCAGGGATAGTAGCTAACATTAGGCCAGATTATGTAGACCAGCAGAAGTTCGTCTCAAAACTTGACGGTAACGTCACGGTTCACAACAATGACTTTGTCGGTATTGCCTCGTACAACATCTTCGTTGGCATCTTCGTTGCCACCATCTTCGGTGCTGCCTTCTTCTTCGATCTTTTCTGGCCCGAGCGACAGGAGTCGAAGGGCGTCAAGACCGCCTGGAAAGTTTGCTCTGTCTTTGCTTGCATGGCCGCGCTCGCCGACGCCCTGGCGTATACATATATCGTGGCCAGCAGGAGTGCGTACATAACTGGTACGGATCCTGCGACTGGTGGTTCATTGTTGTCGCAGTTCAAAAAGGCCGGAGAAACTCCGCTTGCGTACAACAAGAACGGGCGCGCGATTGCTAGTGTCGTATTCTTGTGGCCTGGCATGATCTTCACATTCGTCAGGTACGACATCTCCTATTCAATCTTACCGCTCTTGCTGACCTACGATCCTAGTACATATCTTCTGTGGCACTCATTAGCCCACATCGACGCTCACGGCCCGATGTCAACACACGCCCGCAACGAGAAGGCGGCTACAGACGGCGCTAGTGTCGCGTCTACAAGTCTCGACGGCACAGCGCCAGTCACACAACCCGCGCCGACACATACCAAGCCCGCCGTTAGTACCGTATAGAATAGGTTCTTAGGGGGCAAACCACGTCCTGCTCCTGTTGTTAGAGAAACTGAGTTGCAGGGCGAGAATTTCGAGATGCAGAGTTTCCAGGAAGGAGTGGAGACTTTGGGTGAAAGCAATATTGAAACGGTGCCGGCCGATGAAAGCGATACCCATCCAGCTTTTCGGATGGGGAGTCCTTTCGGGTTTCGGACGTCACCACCTGAGTAGACCATACAAGGATGGACGTCGATTCGAGTCAGTGGACTCTTTGTACGATACACGACGAGTTTGTTGGGACAGATATGGTTTATGGAGTATACCCCCACATCTGATGCGGCGTTCTTACGGACAAGTGGGATCTTGAGTATTGATACCCCAGTAGCTTGTTTAGTTACATGAAAATGAACCATAATATCTGACTCAATCACTGCATTAGTATTCGTGGTAGTCTAACATTTATTTCCGGTCATCTTCTTGTATATGCAACAATTTCCAGCTATCCACTTGGGTTCTGATCAGAACAAACGACAAGAAATCCCCAAGCCGAGCAGATCGTAATTCCCGTTTGAACTCATGACTGTACAGCACCGTCTCGCCGCGCTCGCCCAAGCTCATCTCATGCGTCCTGCTAATATTTCGTCCCAAATCCAGATCTACCATGCTATCTTTCCTCCTGATACCGCGTCGCGTATATTTTCCTTTTGTACCCTCATCCAGCATCTCCGTATCTTCGGGCAATACGTCATCTTGAGGTACGTCGTCGATATGAAACAGAAGTTGCACTTCCGCATTATGATCAGGTTCGGTCTTGAGATCACGGAAGATGGTGATGGAAGAGACATGTTTCAATCCAAGTTCTTCCTTGTGCTGAATAAGGAAGAAGGCTACGGTTGAACCGATGGGCGAGCCCAGAAGTACTAACGCCTCTTCACTCGGCATATTCAATTGTAATCCCGGCCAAGTTGGAACGCCTTCAGTATATCCATGATTTAAAAGGATTTTGATAATGATTGGCACTGTATCCTCATTCGTGACATCTTGGCCGAACCAATATTTGAGGTTTTTAGGAGTTGGGCTGCGTAACCAATATGCAGCTAGGATATCGGATGCTATACTTAGCTTGGGGAGCTCTTCTTTCTTGACGTCCCAGTCTAGATTCTCTTTTGCTGCGGCTTTGGGACCGAGAAAATCTTGGCCGAATATCACTGGAAAGAGATAAATTAGCATCTTTTCTACCAGACACCAACGGAATTCTGACACTAATGCAGGTAAAGTGTATCATATAGGAGGAGAATAGGAGACTCACCACCTTGTTCCGGATTTAAAGTAAATCGGAACCAAGCACCAGTATTCTGGAGTCAAAACGCGTCAGCAATGAATCCCTTGCACTAGTGAATTCGCTTCCCCCTTTTACTCACCGGGTATGTTTTCCCGTCGACTTCGTAATTTTGCTCATCGATGGGAACTTCTTCCCCATCCTCGTACTTCAGTTGATCATCGTTATGCTCGATGGAGATACCGATGTTTTTACCGCCGTCTTTCATGGGAGTGGTACTTAGACCCAAAGCTGTGAGTGCGACTTCGATCATGTTCTTAACATCGGGAATTTTGTCGCCGAAGTTGGCGCTTACATCCTGGTTGTATTCGCCTTCGAACCAACCCCAAGTTGCCAGTTCATCTGTCGAGAAATGAGTGTTAGCATATGGTTATACTCGATGCATAGAGTTAGGAACATGCCTTCTAAAGTTCCTTTCCAGGGACTGCTTGCTGAGGGAGGCACTCTTTTGAACGGGTCTGGCCATTGAACTCCAGCCACAGAATCAGACATGTCCATAAGGCAATAGAACATGTTTCCTTTACCCTTGAATCTCTGCCATGAACTGTCGTCGAGGGTATTACTTGTGTCCCAGTCTATTCCTGCAATCTGGACTGACTGCTGGTCACTGGTTGAAGAGTGATTGGCGAGATGTAACGCACTATCTTGGCGATACAGGAGACCTGGCTCGGAGGGAAAGGAGGAGGAGGTGCCAAAGGGTTTTTCGACAGGTTTGGCGTAGACCATTGTTACGCAGACCGCCAGGGTTATGGAAGAAGTAATGATAGTCATGGCTAAGTGGACTTGGAAATTTGAGTTGATTGGGTGCAAGTTCATCCAGACTTTGGTTGGAGAGCGAGATGTACCAAGGGAGAGAAGTCAGAAGTGAGTGGATTAACCACCTCGTCATCATGGCGAAATACCTGAATAAGTGGGTCGGCGATAGATGATAAAACGACCGAATGAAGTGGCAAACGTATATTCACCTAAATTGTAGAGAAAGTGATTCAGTTTAGTGACGGTGTAAGGGAATAGATCCGGCCTATGCCCCTTGGCTACAACACCTTGTCAGATTCTGGCGAAGAATGGTACAAAATATACGCTTACCACCGTTTGTGAATCGCTACTTACTGTGATAACTTACCATGCCTCCAGAACTCGTGCTTCATGATATTAAGGAATAATGTGGATGAGGCGCGAGACGGAAACATTGTACCAACGTATTCTAACTCGCTCAAGCCCACGGCTTACCACCATCGTCGGACCCCTTCTAACAACACTCACCATCTGCAACCTCCTTACATTATAACTTAAATCCACTCTATCATTCACCATGCTATGGCTCCTCTTAACTCGCCCTACCTTACTCGTCCCCCTGCCTATCTCCACATCATTGTCGGCGTCCACCATCTCGTAGTCCTCAGGCAGCGAATCGTGATCCGCAACATTTTCGATACCTAAGACTGATGTTATGTCCGTCTGAAGCATACGGCTCTCTTTGTAATCGTGGCAAATGGTAATCTTGGAGATGTGCTTGTCGCCGAATTCAGCTTTGTGTTGGAGGAGAAGGAAAGCGAAACCTGAGCCAATGGAAGTGCCTCAACAATCGAAAGGAAAACCCCCAACAATGCTCCATACCAAGCATTGAGAGGCTTTCATCGAACGAGCAAGAACGAATTAGCCTCGTTCTCCGTACCTCTTGCTCTCCCCATTACTTCAATTATGCTTTCCTACCGACTCGAAAGCGTCCCGCGGCATACTCATTGCACCGAGACATATGAATGAACGCATAGTATATGAAAGATAAGAGAGCAGACCTGAGCAAGTCAAGAGGAGAAACAGAAAAATACAGACGTACGAAAACTCCCGAAAATCGCGATGCGTCAAATGAGGGAACAACCGAACACACCGTCAAAGACTTCGATAAAACGTCTATTAGGGTCTTCTCATCAGCTGCGCGACTCACAATAAAATCCCCTTTACATCCTCGAAGTGAACGATCATTGCATACCTCATGACGCACAAAATCACGGATAATGCTTTCACACTTACAAACAACACGAGGCTAAGTGACACTCGTTGCCTAAAGTACACAGAGGATAGTGGTCAGATCAGGTCACTTCGCCGGCAATATCTATTTGCGATCCTGGTTATCGGGATGCTGGTCGCACAAACGCAAGGTCTGGCTGTTATCCGAAAAACGAGAGGTACGTTACTCAGCGCGATTGTGTAGCAGCCCGTCGCAGGAAAACACATTTGACCATGTTGTATGTACCGGGGTTTGTGTGCTGACTGCACTGCTAGTCCGAGAAACGGATGTTGCGTACGAGAGACGGCCCGTCTGCCTAGTCGTATACTTTGTATGGGTGGCCAGTCGGAACTCCAAGGAATGTTTCTTATCAGCGCAACAGCTGGCGTGAGTGTGCTGGTGTCATCGCAACATGCCCGAAAAGCTACGTGCAGTCATGGTGACCACTCCATGTCATCACAAGACTACAATCTGACCAGTAATCTGGTCTGGCTAGGTGGTGGTGTGAGAAATACTAAGTATTGGTAACGCAAGGAAAAGGCCGTATTTGGTTTATCCCCATGTTCGAGTCGAGAACCGACGTCTTGGTACACTACTGCACACATGGGAGGCGTACGAATGCAGTAGCTCTGCCGTAAATCTACAAGCTGCAACCAGTACTTTCATGGCTGACAAGGCGGGGCAACAAGGAAAGTTGCCGACGCCGTGACTGAGGATTAAGCTACGAGCTGCAGTATCGCATGCAGCCGCGGAACGATTGGAGCGCCACTTCCATCCGAGTGCCAAAGGGAGTGAGATCTGAAACTAGAGTTTGGCGTTACTTGAAGGCTGCAGGCGGCGCATTATCCTGGCGTTAAGGGCTGTCGACGGCGCATTATTTTTGGGTGTCGGAGGAATAAGAAAGCGTATCGATAGTGGCTGCAGTCTTCCGGAAGTGTATGCTTGCATCGTGCAGGTGGAGCGGAATCGTTTGTCTGAGAAGAGCTGATGTCACAGTACTCTTTTAGCGGAACTCTGTTTTTCCAAACAGCAGTCGACACAAACCTGCGGAAGGTTTCTCCTTTGTACAGCATGCCTTGAGCCTACCTATTTAGTGCTGACTGCACACGCGGAAACGTGGGCGCAGAGCAAAAGAACTGGTGTTCGGCGAGCCTGCAGTCAGCCTCGGATGCTAGCATATTCAAGGACAGCAAGATGACGCACAAGGCCTGTCGTAGCGAGCTTCAAGAAGTACGCACAACAGCACCGGAGGAGCGGAACGAGATGCGAAAGGGTACATAATTCCGGATCGACGGCGGAAATTTCTTTGGTGCGACGACTCATTGAGTCGCGACAAAAGTCGTGGGGCTGGCACGCGAATTGCTCAAGGAACACGATCGGGGAGAGATGGCGGCCTCGGACTGTGTAGCCCAAATCGTAGCGATTTGGGCGCCAGCGCGAAGGAGATCATCAGGGACTGCGTGATGGGCTGCGCGGGTGTGAAGTCATCCTTGCTGATCGTTTTCCAGTTGGCGTCCGGGGAGCTCGAGGTCAGGTCCGAGATGAAGCAGGTTTGCGTGAGAGTGACCTCGCAATAACGCAGAGCAACGTGTTGCCTGCTTGGGGATTCAAACGTAGTTCCAACGTTACACTGTAAGGACCGAATAAAGCTTCGGTGAAACGCTATGAAATGCGATGCTCGCAAGCTGGATTCCCCTTTGTAGAAGACTCCACCGGCTAATGGATCCGGGTGCCCCAGCCAGTACCTGTCAACACGACAGCTAGTGCGACGGTGCTCATGGAACTCTCCTTTGCAGCAGCGCAAAGTTCGTGCAGCGCACAGTTGGCCTGATGGTCGGCTTCAATCCGCTGGTACATCGGCGAGCGGCTTGCGGGCACTCTTCCAGTAGTCAGGCGTAGCTCCACAGCACAGTAGAAATTCCACGTGTGGGCAGGGTTGTCTTTGTACGCGATGATCCTTTTCGAGGTCATAACCCTTGCTTCGCTTCTCATCGCTGGGACACTGGCACGCAGATTACAGTAGCGCGCTCAAAGAGGAAGTGCCAAAAGCCGTTCCTGGACCCACTTTCCCAGCTCCCCGCAAGCTCTAGCTCACGATCACAATTTCGACAAAGTTTTCTGTGGAGAAATCCGTCAAACAGCTGTCAAATTGCAAGGCGGTCGTGATTGACAGCGATGCTGCTGGTAAAAAGTCGGTGGCTGATACCAACGTCATGAGGAAGATAACCTGAAGGAGTTCAGACCCTGTAAGATGTGACGACGCTTCAATGGCAATCTCGATGGTTGAGTGTGTGATTGATAATGGCTAGCGATAAAGTTGGAGGAGCATGGACTGAAGATCGCGAACGCTGTTTGAGTCCTCAACGCTCCTGCACTGATGGACTTGTCGACGGCGTCTGTAGCAGCCCAAAGAAAACGACGTCCCGTTGCACCAGCGGAAGAGAGCGATCATGTCTACACCGGTGTACACCTAGCATGCGCATATACCACGCTGGTCCAGCAGGCGGTGTCGCGTGGCATTCGGCATGTCTCTGTGTGAGGCTAGTGGATAAGGACGGGATGCCCTTGTAGCTCGTCTCAGCCTGATTGTAAAGCACCCCTATCCCTGTCCATGTCCTGCAAGGGCGAATCAGGGTCGGTGCTGCTTGCGAATTATATTATTGGACTGGCATAACGGCTGCATTCTGGCAAATGTGTTTACGATGGAGCGACGGGCTGTAATACGGAGCAACCCAAATCGAGCAAAAAGGCGATGTCATAGTTGGTTCCGTGTCAGAAACAATTCGTCATTGGGACGGCTGGCCTCCGAAGTTGAGCAAGAGACTGCGTCAATGAGGCTTGAGGCAGAGACAGGTCAGTTTTTTTCCAGAAGGAAGCGATTGTGCGTGAAACCTTGCTGGGTCATAATCCCGGGACGTCGAACGCATGCAGCAGCATCCGTGTGCTTGGAGGCGCGGAAGGCTTGCAGCGATCCGCGAATGCGACGTGTCTGAAGAACGACCGCCGGCCAAATTTCTTAGTCGTGAGGAGTGCGCATTTTGTGTCAGCGTCGGTGAGCATGTCTGCGATGATCAGGGACAGCCTGGAATGACTGCGACTCAGTGTATGCAAGACGCTTCCAGAGGCTTTCCAGAACAAACAGCAGGCGAGATTTTCAAGCCGCCGCCGGGCCCACTCACCGCAAGCCGGACAACGCTCTCATTACGGCAACTGGCGATTTTGCTTTGGCAGCATGGTGCGCGTTATTCAGGTGGCGGGAGGGACATGAGAAGTTGTTTGCATGCCGCAGATGTGATGAGGGTGTAGTGCGGCGAGGGTGGCTCCTTCCTGCTTGCTGCGGACGCGAGGGTTGGTTGAGGGAGGAGCGACCCGTCAGTGGGCAGTCGTGCCCACGTGGCGCGAGCCAAAACCGATACCCAGATACCCGTCACAAGCAACGACGATTAAGCAAATGCGACAACAACACAGGGCGGTTCATGATACTGCAAAAGCAAGCTGCTATGAACAGGTGCTGTCAAACATGAGCCGCCACCTCTACAGAAAAACTCCACTGCGATCCCGACGACCAGTTACCCGGTTGGCTGGGAGCGAACGAGGACGACAGGGCTGCAAGAGAGGTGATTCAGCATAGGCAGTGGACCGGCCGGGGAAGCACATCCGGAACGTCTGTGTGGCGTCTCTGAACCTTCTCTTCTTGCTTCTGGCGTAGGCCAACAAACGCGACGCGGCACGCACGAGTCGACGCCGCCGGTCAAAGCAGCGAGACGGGAGCGCTGACACTGTCTCATCTAAGCCGCCTTGTCTGGAAGCGCGCGGTGACAGTGACAATAGCAGCGATAGGGTAGCAAGAGAGGACGGGTGAGATGGATGAAGCGTCTTGACCTTGCCATGGTACGGCGGAAAAAAAGAGTTGCCAATATCGCCCATCTGACGGAAGCAATTGACAGCGTCTCACCCTTTGCATCTGCATCCCAGCGAAGCCGTTGATGTGGCTACCTCTAGCGCAAGAAGCTAAGGGCCTGCAGGTACGGCTTTCTAGCGCGGCACTATCCAAGGGGGATAACCGGCTTGGTGGTAACAGTGCGCAGATCACCCTGGCTCCTGACGATGGCAAGGGAGCCTACCTTGAAACAGGCCGAAAGACCCGTCGCTCCCGATGCGCAATGTAGTCAGGGCTTTTGGTAGAAAAGCACTGTCGCTCATTTCATTTGTCTCGCCGAAAGGCCAAGGCCACCTTTGGCAAGTCAGTTAACAGGCCCCCTTATTCTAGCTGCGAATATAGAAGCTTCAGGGCGCCCTTCGTTTAATTCCTGCCATCATCATCTCTCACTTTCAAACTATCCACACTCATTCTACTCTCATCCCCACTCCCCAGTCACTGCTAGCCAGTCCACGGGTACACGACACTATCTAATAAAGCTCGATACCGCCTCGCCGCTCTTTGTATCGCCTTGCAATCAACACTCGCCGACCTTCGACACTCATTCTCGTCTTTTATCCAACTCGCACAGGCCAGGTGTTCAGCCGGCGTCTTACATGCTTCAGAGCTCAATCGGTACGTTGTACATTCAGCGCAGTCTATATTTGACTTGTTTGTGCGACATTATTCTGACTTATAACCAGACCACACACTCATCAACAACATGATCTTCAGAGAGTCAGAATCCAACAACATGGGACGCGGTGCCTACGATACCACTGGCACCCCCAAGCCTCCTCCACCACCGCCCAAATAAGTTGCGCGCCAACTTTCCCAGCGCTTGCCTCGCCATTGCCTTTTTCCATCGCAATGCACCTGCTTTTTCGTGGCAAGCTGGTTGTTCGGTTAGGACTAGAGGGATTGCATCCCGCACCTTGTAAGTCACAGCCAACTCACCCTGCATGTACACGTCCACTAACAACGCATCAGACCAACTCCACATGAATGTTTCATCGCAACCGCTACAGGCGCAACTTACTCGGTTTACGGCGCATCTTCTTCCACGGAGCCATCTTGGGATTACCGCCTTTTAATCATCCGCGACCATTTCGATTCTTCAGCGTCCTAATACCCCTGCGACTTCGGGCATCCACCGGCGTTATCAAGCGAATCTCGCACAGCCCTGCTCACCTACTTGCGTTACACGTTCAGCGACATTCCCTTACGGCAAAAAGTTCTTCTTCATTCGGCGTTCACTATAGACTCGGTTGGGCCCAGGCATAGATACCAAAAAGGACCCTCACTTTCTTTCATTCGGACAGCGTAACAGGTTAGATTCTCGTGCCGGCCCTCACCGGCATCAACGGCACGAGTTGTATTGTACTATAGCGCGTTGGAGTGGTCATATTGACGACCACGACTCAACGATTTTGTTTTCTTTAGACGGCTCCTCATGAACGGTATGCATGGGCCGCTCTCCCCATAGCTTTGGACATTAGACTGAGCGCCTGGGCCTTTGTACTTGTGTCTCGCGACTCAACTGGCTACAGTTTAGACTAATCAAACATCTACTCTTATCAATCTTCTCTATCGTGACGACATGGTCTCTGCATTGTGAAGCGTCTCATCCACCCCAGTGGTACGTCCATGTCACACGTGGCGCCGCGGATCTCCGACACGGGCATATCGATATGCATCCGCAATGGCAGCGATCCGCCTCCAAGCCGTATCGAGTGGCGACCCTTGCTTGTGCTACATGGTGGATGTTTTGCCAGACGTGCTGCGGGCGCTTCGATGGGTAGCTGCGAAGCTTGGCGGTAGAGTGGAGACCTGGCACTGCACCCCACGAATACAGGCGCGCCGAATTGCACCTCACCATAGCTCCACCACCACCACGTCTGGTACCTCTCTGCAGCCAATACATCCTGCGTAGCCAAATTCAACAACCACCACCATGGCCAACATCAACTGGCGGACAATCAACATTGACGCCTTGGATCCCGACAGCCCCGCCAACTTCGACCTAAGCTCCCTCACGCCCGCCGTGCAGCCTGTGTCGACGGCCGATGTCCAAAACAATGCCCAGCAATTACGGCAACTGCTCCGTGGTGGTGACAATGAGGGAGCCCTCCTAGGAGCGCTGGAGAACCCACCATATGGCGCAGACGACAAGGGAAAGGTATGTTGCGCCTCAGCATAGCTCTGGAATAGCTCAAGAGACAAGAGCGCCCCAAGTCTCGCTGGACTGGGAGCCATGGCTTCCACCTCTCTGGACTTGGGCTACCGACGACCAGGTCGGCAACATTACACAGTGCAGAACCAAGCTGACAAGCTCCGCTACTCCAGGAAGCCCACCTTGCGACCGTCATCGAGATCCTACAATCCATACGCGCGTCGGACATGTCACCAATGCTGAGCCGGATATACGGTGCACCAGGCGGAACCGAGGCATTGGACGTCCTGATGAAGTACATGTACGTCCAGCAGCCTCTCCTTTGTGCCTTCTGCCACCCCCGTTGGGCTCACCGCCAAACATGTCCACAGTCGCACATTCACCACCTCCGACTAACAAATGTATTTACAGCTACAAAGGCATGGCCCATGCTACACCTGCAACCACCAAACGCGACATCACCCCCCAACCGACCGGTTTCTCTCAAGTTCATACCCGTGGCGGCGGCGAAGGTGGTGGCCAAGCAATGAGCGTGCTCCTCAGCTGGCACGAGAAGGTACGACCCCACGCTCTTTCCTCACCCGTCGTTATCTGGAACGGCCCATGAACCGGGTGGCATCCCACCCTCTGCCGCACAAAGCACCTACTACCTATCGTTCTGCTTCCGTCACTAACACACCAACAGCTTGTGGAGATAGCGGGCCCAGGCTCCATCTCTAGGGTCATGAGCGATCGCCGTACGGTTTGAATGGTTAAACAGTCATCGCATTCCGCAACAATCATCACCAAGGGCGTTTTTTTGGAATCATAACTTAGGACTGGGCTGGCTGAACGCTAGCTTCCATTGCCTTCGATAGCGTTCAGTCCATACCGAGGCGCAGTAGTAGAGCCCAAGGCCCAACGGCAAAAGCAGAACCCGAACAAATCATCACATTGCGCATTCTCTTCCCGTTCTCCCCTCCCTTGCCCACATTACGATCCCAAATCCCAAAATTTACACAGGCATAATCCCATGGCGGAATGCGGAATAATATTGAACGCGCAACCGTCCTACAATCCTCTTGCACTCGCAATTTTCTTGCTATGACGCCGCAATCCATGTCCTTGCACAACTACGCGCACTGACGCCCATCCTTCTACCGGCCTTGCAGAACCCTTCTTCAGCCCTACTTATACAAACAGACCACAACGAATCCTCATTTCGCGGACACGGGAAACACGTAACGCTAGCACAGCTAACTTTCATTAAAGCGGCAACTGACTTATCGACGCGGCATAGCTTCCACGCGAAGCTCCTAGTGCCATGCTAGCTTTCTGAATCGGGAAAGTCCTTAGGTCATGGTCCGCTAGGTCATTTATGGATGGCCGTTGGGTGATGAAACGCGGGTTCCAAGGTTACGGTGCTGATCGCAATGGGATTGGGAGTGTGACTTGTTCGCGACGATGAAGGTCCGTTGTTTCAATTATCCCACCTGTAAAGTTCGAAGATCCAAAGTTTGTCCATCTTTATCTCTTTATCGATTGCACATACGCAAGCTTTATCCCTCAACCAAGGAACTGCACGTTTCGTGTCGCTGGACCCTGGTTGGGCGGAAATTTTGCTTCAAGACGGACTGGGACTGGTTTGTTTGATGTGCGAACGTGTTTCTGGAAGCATGTTCGGTGTTTATGCGTAGGGCTGCGACGCCGCGCTATACCACCCAACTCATCTTCCTCGCCTTCAGCTCACACAGGTACAGTACAAACTTGTTCGCGCTATGCAACGTCGTTCCTTGATACGAAGAGTTCATCGACGGGACGGGTCAGCTTACATACAGAGTATGACCGGCAGCAAGCTTTCTGCGGCGAGACATGACATGGATGGGTATGATGGTATGGATTACCTCGGCCGGTCCTCGATCGGCATATCACCGGCATGACGATCGGGAAGCGTTGACATATCCGTCTCGCGTCTCCGTCTCGTCTCAGGTAGTCGGCTATGCAACGCTTTGGCAACGCTTCAAGCATCATCGGAGTTGGGCGTGCATCGTCGGAGCTGTCGTCGTCGCACCTTTGCAGGGCTTGCACGTGGGAGACGCGAGACAAAGACGTGGATGCATGGGGGAGACGTGGGGCACATGTCATGCTGCGGACCTTTACTGTACCTGGCTATGACATGCAGATGCGTGCATGTCCGTTGCTTGTTTGGGACGGTGCTGGGAGAGAGGGTGGTGGCATGTCGACGCGAGTTTCAAGTTGCGAGTCGGTTCCGCCCACGCGACATTGGAGCGGATCCGCTGCTGTGTGAGGGAGTTGGCATCCGGTTGTAGTTGCTGTACTTGGTTTTCTTCGAGGCTTAGGTGCTGACGTTGTGGTCCCCGAGGTTACCTTTCGAGTTCTCGGCATCGGGGACTTTTTTTTCTTGTCGATAAGCTCCAAGGGTGAGATTTCGTATCCTTACTGTTGGATTCAAAGTTTATCGGATGAGAAGCTGACAGTATTGTACATGGAATGTTACCCATTTCTCGGGTGTAATCAGAGTTGGCGACGTTGGTCTGAGCTTACGTGGAGAGGAGGGTTGTTATCATGAGGAAAACTCTTACCACACCTCTCTTACTTCGAGTCACCATATGGACCAGACGTTTCGATGCACCTTCTTGTAGTGACTCGGTGCAAACGGGTAGCAATCCTTCACGTCTCCCCTCTCATCTACCAATATCTTGCCACACTAACATTCACACCTCTTCAGCTTGCATGTGCTTTTGTAAACTTCATGGCTGTCTGTACATAGATCATACGTCACAGGACTTGGGAAGACGGCGACCACTACAGTCTAGAACAAATCTCTTCTTCTTCTTATGAGATCCATCCATCTCTTCCCGCTTCAGATCTCATTTATCCGAAGTTCTCGTTTCTTTTTTCTTCCACACCAAATCTATCTTTACAAACTTTTCGTCATGTGGCTTGGATAAATCCACATCAGGGTCTTTGTCTTCTCCGTTACTTCTTTTTTTCTTTTCGTATCAATCCTTATCTATGCGAGATTTGGGCGTTCTTCGTGGCTTGATCGTCGCGTCACTGTGGCTTGAACTCACACAGGGTCTGTTTCCTTTTTCCTTGCTTTTCTGTTGCAAAAGGAGGTGTGGGTAAGGTGGATACAGCGGGCGGTGTGGATATGGGAAAGCGAGGCTGTTTCGTCCTCGTGGGTGTGCACTGTTCCGTCGTTCCGGCAGAAGGAAAAACGTGGAGGTGTGGTATACTTATGGTATAGGGTGTGTGGCAACGACATGTGTGGAGATGAGAAGCCTAGCCCTGAAGATGATAACACTCGGGGTACTCCGTTGGTTCTGCTTTCGGATTCTAAATGATTTAACTGTGGTAGCGGAACGTCTTCGTCGCGTATGCGTGAAATCAGTTGTTGTTAGATGAGGCAAGACGGCCCAGCACACTCAACTAACTCAGTGTGATGATACCAACGCAGGTGTATCTTCCACACAACTCGTATTCGCTATCTGTACCTACAAAATACAATGTTTTTTTAATGTTAGTCGTTTAGTTTTCTGTCGTTGTAATTTGATCAACACTTTTCGGAGCTGCATCAATATCAATATCGCTATTGTTGTGGTGCGTCTTGTCTTCCTGGGATATATCTACATTGACGTTTTTCTACCCCAAACCCCAATTTGATGCACTTGCCGAATGTTTCGAGAGAAAACGTGCTATGCTGCATGCATGGTAGTCGCGCTCTTAGACGCACGTCATATCCGATTTTCATCGCAGTGGAGACGAGACGGTCACATGTGAATGGAGACGAAGCCTTGAATGGAAAGTCTAAGGTATAAGATCGGCTGAGAATGCACGTTTAGGTATGTAGGGCACAGCTTTAACATTCGAAGAGATGCCTGTCTTTATCTTCAATGCTTTCCCAATCATACCTCTACTATGGCTAACGTTGCTAGTGTGCCTATTGGCTATAGGTTAGGCATTATCACCATTGGCCAGTGTCACAACTGTCGCTTGTGGTTGTCTCGATTCTCGCTATCGCCTAAACCAATGTTCTTATCATAGTTCTTGCTGGGGTCCCTATCATCGCCGATGTCCTTGTCGCAAGTATCACCAGGATGGAGACTATACATACATGATAGCAAGGGCATAACGTGATTCCTGATTGGGGTGTTGCAACAGGAAACCTGCCGCTAGTAAATACCTCGAGCAATTGCATATTACACCATAGCCTTTCCACCCACCATTATAGCGTTGCAACAAGAGGTTTCGTGATAAGTGGCTTGTGGGTTTTAACGGCAGTCCAAGCTAGCTATAGATCCAAAGCCAATGAACATAGATGATACTGACAAGGAAAATGAATAGGAAATAAATATCAAGGGTATCGCGGCCTTCTACAGGACACCAGCGCCATGCAGATCCAAGCCAGCCACCCATCCAGCACCATATACTACATCAAGACCCATAACAGCCAATTCATACCAACGTCCAAAACGCAGTCCCAACCGCTCAGTCGTCTTTCTTATCATCACCATCATCGTCATCGTCATCATCCGTCTTCCCCGGTACAGTTTCCATCTCAACCTCCCCTTGCACGTTCCCTTTCCTATCCCTTGTAGTAATCCTGTACTTACCTCCATCCCAAAGATCTTTGAACGTAAGCTCCTTGGTCCTGCCCAAGCTCTCAATAGCACCAATACGCTCCAGCGTCGCTTCCAAGAAATCCTCAAACCCGAGTTCAGCGCAGATTTCGTTGAAGGCACGTTGCATAGGCACAGAGTCTGCGCGAACGACAGCGTGTGAGTCGATGGAGAAGATAGATAGGTCATGGTGTTGACGAATAAAGTCGGAGCGTGTCATGACGAAGCGGGCGCGGTGGAGGGGGATAGAAGGGAGGATGTGGCCAACTGCTGGGTCATGGTTTACGTCCATTTCGTTAAACTTTTTATAAAGGGCGTTGGCAAGAACCATTGCTGTGGACTATTTTGGTCAGCCCAACATTAACGAACAAGAGAGCTTGTGTGTACATACCGCATACTTCTGCTGGTCCATGACGTCGTCGTCCATCTCCTCGCCTAGAATCGCGCAGTTGTTCAGGAACCAGATTTTCTCCATTTCGCAGATGGTGTCACATTTCTCGATCATGTTTTCTGACTTCGCTACGCGGTTTAGGAAGGTCAGACGGCCCCCGACTTTGTCGTATACTTCTTCCAGAATAGACTCGTGGACTTTCTCGCCATAATACTTCATTCGGTAATTCTTTAGAGCTTGCATGGCGCGATCTTTGGTCAAGTCTTTGATCTGGTGTACTTCCATGCGTGTTGCATACTGCTTGAGTCTTTCAAACACCCAGTATTTGTCTGAGTTAATGATGATAGTTGCGAGGTTGGCGGCTGCCCATTGCTCCGCGCGTTGTTGAATGAGCTCGAGAAGGTCCCTACCATCTTCATTATCTCGGATGAGATGTGCGGAATTGATGATAAGGATGAGCGGTCTTCCGACTGTCGCACGGCGTCTCAAAGCCACCTTCTCCAGTTTGTTGAATGCTCGCTCAATATCCAGGATAGCACCAGCGTCGCGAGGTCCACGGATAGAGAAAAGAGACCCGATGTTGTCTTCATGGTATTCAAAATCGAGACATCGGCCAAGTCGGACACGGAAGACTTCCAAATCTGCATGTGCTTCCATCATCGAACATCCTTCACCATTAATCTTATCCATGGCGTCGATGAGCATAGATGTCTTGCCTGTGCCCTTTTCGCCTAGGAGCAGGTGGTAGCGGCCTTTTGTCTCACCCCAGACGATCTTGTCAATCTTCTCTTGCTCATCACGTGGGATCCAGCGATCATAGTCCTTGTCATCACCATCCATGTCTTTGGTGACTTGTAGTCGTGTAGGTTCACCCGTTTTCGGCATCTCTTTCCCAGTTGCTGCAAGCTCTAATACAGGATCCCCCTCCCGAAAAGCGTTCTCCATCTTTTCGAGAACATTCCATTTGTAGTACTTAGTATAGCCGATGCCGACACATCCTAGGATGAAAATACTGGCTCCAGTGGTGGCAGCAGCCTCGAACATTTTCCAAGCCGTGCTCTTCCATGCTGCCTTTTTCGCCTCACGCTTCTCCTCTTCGGCCTCTTCCTCTGCTTCGGCCTGCTCAACGGCATCGTCAATTGGGTTTGGCGTGTCGTTGCCAGGAGTTGGAGGACCGGATTGGCCACTCAAAGCGCGCGCCAACGATGGGTGGAACAACCTTGTTCCTCGCAGCACCGGGCCAGCCTGCTGGGAACGGTATGCGAGCGGCTGTCTTGTCAAGGCGGCATGAGAGCGCGCAATGTGTCGTAGCATTAACATTATTGACGTTGGCGCGTTACGTCGGGTGTCGCGTGCTTTTACACGTGTCAAACGCAGGCGCCTGTCAGGGGTTCAACGGAGTAGGAAATGAAGGAGAAATAAACGAGAGACAGAGACGCGTGAAAGAAGAGACAATTGAGATGGACGGGATGAGATTGGAGGACAGAGACGCCAATGGAGGCACCGCGGTCTTGTTACGCCGGTGTTGCGATAATTTGGCGCAGGGGCCAAGTGCGAGTGCCAAGTGCGGGCAGGAGCGCGACAGCATGGTGGAGTTGTACACATCCATATCGATAACTACCTGGCGATGACATGGGCGACGGATTCTAGAGGTGACGAGTGAGCGTGTAGGGCATAGTAATCTCAGAATTACCACTTTCCCACCTCCCGGTAACATGGGGGCCGTCTTTCCGACGACATGTGTGGCCTCGGAAGTGGAGAGCGAGCTTAGCGGACCATCCCGGCGCCCTCAAGAAAAATATTCTGGAGATGTGACCGGCGCAGTCCCCTCTCCTCCATACACTCCACGCATGTCATTGTACATTAATGCGCCTATCTTGTACATTACCTTCTTTCACTAGACCGATTCCCTCTTTCCGTAGTCGTTCTTTCCTGGGGTTGTAGGATTTCTCGATATATCTCACGCCCGCCATCATGGCCGCTAGTACCAATGACGCTTCCAAGTCTGGTGAGCTTCCCGCGCCCGCACACGACACCAGCCTTGATGGAAATTTTCCCGGGGCGCAATAGAAACCCGTATAGCTTTTGGAAACAGTATGGCTAACACGATTGATATCACAGAGGTCGAGAAGACTCCCAGCAAGGACGTAACTACAGATGGACCAACTGAGGGCACAGAGGAAGATGGCGCTGGCCAAATGCCAGACAGTATGTCAATCAACGACGCAAGTATGAGAGTCGACAGACTGATCACGTCTAGACATCTTCCAGGTCACCATCAAGCTCCCACATGAGCCATTCGAGATGCCAATAACGGTGTGTACGTAAAAGAAAACATAGTCAACGAAAACTCATTTCCGCCAGATCTCGACGGCCGAGCAGGTGCAAGACCTCCGTCAGAACATCATCGAGACGCCGCATACCTTCCAGTACTCGTGCTTTCACCTAGAGCATGATGGCGAGCGAATCAACGATTACGTCGAACTCTCTGAAGTCAAGGGACTAAAGGCCGACTCGGTGCTCACTCTGGTCGAGGATCCGTACACGGAGAAGGAGGCGCGGTTACATGTTGTCCGCGTGCGGGAGCTCATCGGCGCTGCTGGCGACCGCACCGATGCGCTGCACGGTATCATGGCCGGACTGTCATTGCACGACACTGTGGGACACGAGCAGGCCTCGAAGCCAAAGGCCGATGGCCCGGAGCAGTCTCCATTGGCCGACTACGACTTCAAGGCATCAGGCGCTATCAAGAACCTGCTGCCTCCCACTGAAGAGGCCGCGCCCAAGACGATCAAATCCATCGCCGTATCGCCTTGGAACCCCCCGCCATACCACCTCCGGTCCAAGGGCCACCTGCTGTACCTGGTAGTCACCACCAACGAGAACGAGCAACACCACATCACAGCTCACGTCTCTGGTTTCTACGTCAACAAGTCGTCGAATGCCAGTTTCGATCCGTTCCCACGACAGCCACCAAAGGACAAGCAGGCACACTCGCTTCTCACTCTACTTGAGGAGCTGTCGCCGTCTTTCCGCTCTTCGTTCCAGGAACTGCTCGAGCACAATGCGAAGAAGGAGTTGCTTACCATCTTCCAGCTCTCCAACGCCATCCCCGCTAACCCCTGGCTGGTACCCGCACCCACCTCGTCCCTCACCCCACATCAGCCAGATCTGGCGCGGACACAGGAGAGCTACCTGATCTCAGGTGTTGAGAACACCGAGACACTCCGTGACTGGAACGAAGAGTTCCAGTCGACCAGGGAGATGCCAAAGGAGGCTGTCCACGACCGCGTCTTCCGCGAGCGCCTTACTTCGAAGCTTTTCGCCGACTACAACGATGCTGCAACCCGTGGTGCCATGTTGGTAGCACGGGGCGAGATTGCACCCCTCAACCCTACCGAGGCCAAGGATGCGCAGATCTTCGTGTACAACAACATCTTCTACTCGTTTGGTGCTGACGGCGTTGGCACATTCGGTGCCGAGGGTGGTGACGAGGCTGCACGTGTAGCTGTCGGCAAGGACGTTTTCGGTGTCCGCGCTGTAAACAACCTTGACATCCAGAACCTCTTCACCTCTGGAACCGTTGTCGTAGACTACCAAGGAAAGCGTATTGTCGGTCAGAGCATAGTTCCCGGAATCTTCAAGCAGCGCGACCCCGGTGAGCACCAAATCGACTACGGTGCGGTTGAGGGCAAGGAGATTGTCGCCGACGACAAGTCGTTTGTCCCGCTGTTCGAACAGCTCTCCAAGGCGCTGCGCGTCAAGAAGCATCCCGTCTGGGACAAGGACAATGTCCGTCACGAGCTTGAGGGAAGTGTTGAGACTAAGGGTCTGATTGGTACGGACGGCAGGCGCTACGCTTTGGACCTCTACCGCCTCACACCTCTCGATGTCGCCTGGATAGAGGCGCACTGGACTGAACCCAGCAAGGAGGGTGAATCGAAGCCATCAGACAAGGACTATCCCCACCGTATGACAACGCTCCGTCCTGAGCTTGTAGAATCATACGGCAGGCTCAAGCTTCGCGAGTACGTCAAGAACGAGATGGCCAAGAAGACGACAAAGAAGGACGAAGCTTCTGCAAAGGAGACCAAGGCCGAAGAAAGCTCGTCAGAGGAGGAATCTTCAGAAGAGGAGTCTTCGGAAGAGGAATCATCCTCGGAAGAGGAAGACTCTGATGAGGAAGAGGAGAAGGAGGAGAAGGCCCCCAAGGCCAAGAAGCTCACAAAGGCAGAGAAGAAGGCTGCGGAGAAGGCTGCCAAGGTCGCAAAGAAGGATTCTGAGAAGAAGCCTGATGCTGATGACCCAGAGCAGGAGCGTGTCGACATCTCTGGTTTCTCGTTTGCGCTTAACCCTGACGTCTTCTCTGGCCAGAACCCGCAATCCGAGGAGGACAAGAAGGAGTGGGAGAAGGACGAGGCCGAGGTCCGTGCTGCTTGCGAGCACCTCACATCAGAGGTCATTCCCCGTATGATCCAGGAACTCAAGGATGGCGAAGTCGGCTTCCCAATGGACGGCCAGTCTTTGAGCAACCTCCTGCACAAGCGGGGTGTGAACATCCGCTACCTCGGAAAGCTCGCCGAACTGGCTGACCAGGAAGACCCGAGACTCCAGGCTCTGAAGCGTCTTATTGTCCAGGAGATGATTGCACGTGGTTTCAAGCACTTTGCCAACTCCAAGCTGCGCAACGTGTCTGCGCCTTTCGCAGCACCGACCGCTGCTCACCTGCTCAACTGCTTGCTCGGCGCTGACGTTAGCGCGAAGCCTGTAGCTGAGTGTGACAACGATCTTAAGAAAATGTACCCCGAGGACGACTTCAGCTTCGAGAAGCTCACACCCGAGACTCTGAAGAAGGAGGTCCTCGCCCAGATTGCTCTGCGATACCGCTACAACCTGGGAGATTCGTGGATCGAGTCAGGCAAGGAGCTTCAGATGCTCCGTGAGGTCTCACTCAAGCTGGGTCTTCAACTGGAGTCCAAGCCATACGCCTTCACCAAGGCGGCGTTTGAGGCAAGCGCTCCGGCTGAGAAGCCTGCTGCGCCGCAAACAAACGGCCACTCCACATCCAGCAAGAAGAAGAAGAACAAGTCTACATCCACTCCGCCAGTGCGCACAGTTAGCCCCACTGTCGCCCTTGCTCCACAAACTTTCCATGCGGACGATATTCTGAACATCGTACCTGTCATCAAGGAAGCTTCACCTAAGAGCTTGCTAGCTGAGGAGGCACTGGAGGCTGGTCGCATGTCGATTGCTCAAGACCAGAAGGAGCTAGGACAAGAACTGCTTCTGGAATCTCTCCAGCTCCACGAGCAGATCTACGGTGTTCTGCACCCTGAGGTAGCCAAAGCCTACCACACCCTGTCTAACTTGCTCTACAGCCTCGACGACAAGGTCTCGGCTCTTGAGCTTGCACACAAGGCTATCATCGTGTCTGAGCGCACTCTTGGTGTTGACCACGCTGACACTGTGCTTGCCTACCTCAATGTTGGTCTGTTCGAGCATGGTTCGGGTAACACCACAGCTGCTCTGATCTACGTGCGTCACGCTCTTGAGCTTTGGAAGATCATCTATGGACCTGACCACCCTGACTCTATCACCACTCTCAACAACGCTGCTGTCATGCTGCAGGCCGCAAAGATGTACCACGAGTCCCGTCTCTGGTTCGAAGCATCGCTCGCCGTCTGTGAAGACGTCTGCGGCAAGAACTCGATCAACACAGCTACCCTGCTGTTCCAGACCGCCCAAGCTTTGGCGCTTGACAAGGACATGCGCGGCGGTGTCAACCGTATGCGCGAGTCCTACAACATTTTCAAGGAGGTTCTCGGTGCTGAGGATCGCAACACCAAAGAGGCTGAGAGCTGGCTTGAACAGCTCACTCACAGCGCAGTCTCTCAGGCCAAGCAGCTCAACGATCTCGCCAAGACCCGCATCCGCCGCATGCAGCTTCCCGGCCGTAACCCACTTCGACCGGCTGCTGCGACGCCTTCTGCTAGTGACGCCGCTGCCGCTGCCGGAGGTCAGCGCACTGGAAGTGGAAGGGTTGACCAGCGCAAGATTGAGGATCTTCTCAAGTACATTGAGGGAGACGCGCAGAAGGCGCCGAGCAAGAAGAAGCAGACGAACCCTAGGAAGAGGTAGATTGTGTATCGTTTCTGACTCGTGTTACGAACGAGTCGCTACGCGTAAAGTTATACTGTAGTCTGCGCGAACGATGTGTATCATACTGGAGCTGTTCGCGCAACATGCTTCGGCAGCTCTCACGAACCTGATATGCTTTTCCTCTTTGGGTTTTGGGCATGGCTTGCATCTTTGGAGTTTTCGGGATGGATGGTGACGAGATGGAATGTCTTCACGACATACCGGCGGCAAAAAAAGTTCTTCCCTGCTATACTATAAGCTAGATTAGGGCGGCTGGGTAAGGACAAAAGTTACGTCGGGTGTATATGGACTGGTAAATAAGGATGATGGGAGGATATGGACGACGAATGACTAGATGTTTGTACTCAATACCAATGCAAGAATATCTCCTCTTCACAGACGGTGTCGTCGTGGTACAATGTATGTTTTGCAGATGGATTGAGGTCTTTAGGCCACCTGCACAACCATGACGTGGCGACCTTGATGCTACCAACACCCCATGGACAAGCTCCACTCGAGGCTGCACCGCCTCAGTGTAGATTGAAGATCTCGGCATTTCCATCCGAACCAAGCTCTAAATAACAACGCCTTCGAAGCTTGTAGCTACAGCAACTTTTTCCACCAGAACAACATAAGCTTTGAATCAACTGTCACCAAACGACCCTACCACGAACGACAACAGCAAACGCAAAAATGTCTCAATATTTCGGCGGAGTGCAAGCACTCTCCGGTGGCCTCGCCAACCAGGAGCAGCTCCGTCGAAACGCAATAAGAAAATTGGAAGCAGAGGGCAAGATTGAGAAGGGTTCTTGGGAGAGGGAGATGGCATCGATAGATCACGATGGCGTGGCCACCAAGAAGAAAGAGGTGAGCAAAGTCGAGGAGACAGGGAAAGAATATCAGGGTGGTAAGAATGTTGGTGGACGGACTAGCACCACGGTGTATGAGGCGCCATCGACATATGAATCCAAGGAGGAGGGCTCCACTGGAAATGGAGAGGCATCGACAGGTGTGAAAGGTGCTGTGCGCAAGCTGTTTAAGAAATGAGGGGTAGGAGAGGCGGATGTAACGTGAACAATGGATGGAAGACGTACTCAACACTTAATACCAATTGATGTAAGATTGTCTCCTCTTTGTATCTGGTGTTCAGTATGGTATGGTGGACTCGATGTGAAGAGGTGGTTTGTACGTACCTATCCCTCGGTCCATCACCACACCGTAGAAGCTCCACTCGAGCTTTACAAGGTTCCTTCTCGGCACATCGCTATCCGAACCAAGCTCCAAATGCACAACCCCTCCGAAGCTATACAAAGCTCCCCCGCCAAACGCCGTACACAGGATTCCTCCATTGACAACAGCAGTACACACAGGAGCTCCATTCAACCCAAACGGCTCACTCACTCGCACACGGCCCCCTTCCCAACTCAGAGCTGATTACCTTGAAGAGAAAGTTGAAACGAGATGGCATCAAACCAAGGACCCCGGCGTATCGGACAATGGCTATATCTCCGACCAGAGTGTATCGACGAGTATAAGAAATGTCATGCGGCAGTGTGGCCAGAAGTACTAGAACAGATCAAAGACAGCAATGTTAGGGATTGTATGTCGCCTGTCTTTTGTTTGCCCTCGTCTTATACAGGATTAACATTTGTTAGACTCTATATTCCTCTCTCTCTCGCCTCGACCCACTCTCTTCGCCTCGTTCAAATACGTCGGAAACGCGTTTGACGAGGATATGGCACGCATGGCCGCCAACAAAAAGGTGCAAGAGTGGTGGGCCATGACGGATGGAATGCAAGAATCACCAGTTGAGGGGGCGCAGGGGAGCGCAAAGGGACCGGGATGGTGGGGACAGACCGAAGAGGTGTTTTATGTGGAGTAGAAAGGAGGATGGGAAACAAGGACAATGAGAACGAAAAAAAAGTAAAATAATTGGTATCAAAATAAGCTACCGGACATTGCGTCTCCACTCGACACACCCATGTCTTCTGTCCAAAGGAAACCAAACAACCTCTCAGTTTCTCCTTCCCACGTCCTACATGCTGTGACATTGAAGACAAACGTGCCACGCAATTAATGCTTCCCACACTAACACACGCTATGGCTACCTCGATGCCACACCTTGGCTCTATCTGTCTGTGCAGCCTTTACAACGGCTCGTAGTCGGCACTGGTATCTCCAACCCAACCATACCACAACGCGACCACTGTATTCGCCGCAACCCACACACCCGCATATCCTACCGCACCAACAACGTCGGTACCAATGAGCGTCATACACCGTTGGACAGTACCGGCGAACAAGAATGCGTTCAGAATAAGCGTCTGCTGAATCAGTGTCCTAGTCCTCTTGCTGAAGTTGAAGAAGTTGTGTTCAAGCGTCTTGGGCAGGGTCGCGGTTGCGGGATCGAACTCGTCAGCCGGTGTCTGGGTACCGGAGCGCTGGGCTGCGAATGAAGGGTTGAGCAAGAAGGCCTTGGCGGCAATGCCGACAACGACAGTCTTGATGAGGATGGACACGGGAGTCTCGAGATGTGCGGCTTCCAGGGTGGGGATGTCGAAGTACTGGACGAGGAAAGTGTTCAGGAGACCGCTCTTCAGGCCAGCCCAGAGAATGGTAACGTAGACGCCTGCTGCGAGCATCGAGGAAGAGACTTGGACTTGCACGCTGTTGAGGAGGAAGCGGTTGCGCAGGGGCTCGTTGCTCCTGTGGACGATGGAGCGTGGGCGGAGGAGGTACGTGGGTACGGCGAAGGAGAGGACCTCAATGGAAATGTTGGCCGCGGCGGTCAAGGCCGAGATGTCGTAGAAGGTGGTAAGGAGGTAAGTAAAGGGCGCGTAGGTAAAGACGGTGAGGGCCGAGACATCGTAGACTGGATGCTATTAGCCATGGCGTGTTTGTGAAGGGGCATCACCCAGCGTAACAGTTGGATCACCTACAGTCGTAGTTGAAGTACCACGTCATCCAAACCGTCAGGAAGCGCATGGCAATGCGCGCGACGGGCGAGTAGAAAGACGTGACATCGTCCTCGTTGGGCACTTTGCTGACGGTGCCCAGCTCGGGCTTGAGGAAATTGGCGGTAAACTCCCAGAGCAGCATGTTGATGCCCATGTTCAGGCTGATGAGGATGGGCACGCGCAGCGCCGTGGGGAGACGCGATCGTACGGGCGCGCGTGTCGTCGCATTGGGGACGACATCTGGCGCTTGGCGCTCGATGACTGCCGTGGGTGCCATTTGTCGCGTCGTGTCGCGTTGCTGTCGCGTTGTCAATGTGGGTGGGAAGAAAAGAAAAGTACGAGTTGATGTGCGCGCAAGGCTGAGATCGATCGCGCCTCGGTGGGGAGAATGAATGGATGGGTGGTGGCAGGAAGCGTGAGTGCGAGCTAGTCGACAACTTTGTTTTGGAATGACGCAGCTTGCGAAAACAGCGAACAGCGCCCGTGCGCACTCGAAAACATGGCCAAGACTTATTTCACTGTATGGATACACACTTTTCTAAGCATTCCAGGGCGCGTGAATTGACTTGGAAAATGTACATTTCTCTGAGCTTGGCACAGGGCACGAACAATCTCCAGGGCACGGCATCTTGGTTGTGAAAAGGATCATATCAGTCCATTAAGCAATCATATTTGCAGTCGTCCAGCCCATGTGCTACAACATTATCCATGCTCTAGACAAGATACCTAAAGTCTCCCATCTTCTTCTTGCCCTCCTCGACATCAACGCCCTCCACAGCAGCAGTCTGTTCGGCAACATCGTCATGCACAACCCAGGCGTCAAGTCCATCGTCCAACCGCTTGTTCAGTCTGACCAGGATAATCTTGAAGATGAGACAACCAGCAATCGTAACACCAAACATGGCCGTAACAACTCCGTAGCTGTTCCTGTAACCATTGTCCGACATGTTCCACACATACGATCCAGCGATGTTTCCCAGCTGCGAGAACGCGTTGATCATAGCGATGGCGACGGCACGCTTGGCTGGTGGGCGCGGGAACGATGAAGAGATCCACGAGTAGAAGACGATGAATCCGGCGTAGGATGATGCCTGGAGGAACAAAGCAACGTAGCGGCCAGCAGTGTTCGATGTAGCCATGGAGATGACAAACCCAACGATTCCGAACATGATCGGACCAACGATATGCCAGAAACGTTCTTGCTGGCGATCGGCGTGCCACGCGTTGATGAGAGATACGACGCAAGCGAACGCCCACGGAGGTGCAGACATGAGCAGCGTGGTGATGTATCCGAAGCCGAGGGTCCTCGTGAGTGTTGGGAAGAAGGCGTTGAATGACAGTCCAACGACGTATGCAGTAAACGTCAACATCATGACATAGATCTTGACATCCTTGACAGCCATGTAGAGACCAGCGAAAGCAGATTGCTCGGCGGAATCTTCATCTGCTTCGCCTACATCCTCTGTCATGCGCAGAACAGCAACGGCGCGTTCTTCCTCGGTGAAACCCTTGGAGTTATGCGGGAGATCCGGCAAGATCCATATCGCGCTGATAGCAATCACCATCGTCGCCGCACCCTCAATCCAGTACAGCCACCTCCAAGCTCGGTGTCCAAGAACGCCTTCCATGTTTCCTAGTACAGCGGCTCCGACCAAGGAGGAGAAGGCGTTGGAAATCAGGTTTCCGCAGAAGAGAATGGCGTTGCGGAGTGTGAGTTCGCGGCGCGTGTACCATTTTGAGAGAATGAGGAGCGCTCCGGGCAGGAAGGCGGCTTCAACGAAACCGATGAAAAAACGGATGGCTACCATGCCGGCGAAGTTGTTGACATTACCCGAGAGGGTGGAGATCATGCCCCAGATCAACATAACGACGGCGATGTAGAGGGATGGTCTTGGTATTTTGTTGATAATCATGTTCGATGGCACTTGCATCAAAATGTATCCAACGTAGAGAATACTCAGACATGTCGAGTACTGTGTTGGAGTGAGACCAAGATCTTCCTCAAGACCACCGAGACGCGCTGCGGCAATGTTGTTTCGGTCGAGGTCTGGTTGAGAAGAAAGGTTAGCGAAAAGCGTCTTTCGTATCCGACGCGGTCAACTTACAGTTCATGATGTAGATCAAGACGAAAAGCGAACACCGTGCATCCAGCTTCCGCTTCAACTTCTTCTCAACTTCCTGTCTCCTCTCCGGACTCATGTTGGCAGCGAGACCACCAGGCTTCGTGTGGTGCTCCGACACCTGAGCCGCATCTTGGGCGGAGATCTTGTCGTCTGCGGGATATTGCGTCGACGCCATCTTCGCGATCCTCTTCTCTTGTTCTGCAATGGACGAGATGCGAGAAACCTCGATAGACGTTCCATACAACTCTGGGGTCCCCTCTTAATATACCAAAAAGTCGGAGATACCGACTCCCACTACCCGCTTCCCATTACGGGGCCCTCCAGATTATTTACCACCCTACCCCACTATCTTGGCCTGCATCGAACCAAACACCGTTACATGGTGTGCGCGCATACCCCAACGAGAACGTGCATATACGCGCCCCAGTCATTCTATCAAAATTTTCTAGTAAAACCAGAGTGTTGGTATGGGGTGTGTCAAGCGCACGATTCAGGTCATGTGTGGGAAGAAAGCGGCGATTGTTGGCGTTTGGCGTCTGGCGTCCTTGCCCGCATATGTGCTCTTCCCCGCATTAGTCGTAGTGCGCCATTGGACGACTAAATCTTCTTCCTGATAGTTCATATCCGTTGACTCGTTTCCCAGCTGGCCCAGCATCTTGGCCCGGGGTTTTGGCGACACTTGACATGTCCAAGATGTCGCCCAAGAAAACACTTGACATATGTTGCGCGGGATGGGCTTGCTTCCGTGGGCTTGGTTCCTGTTAACGCCTGGGGATGGGTGCCCGGTAATCGATGCCGGCTTCTGCGCATTGGCATCAGACACCGAGCCGACTGTCGCGAGCCAGTATCCATATCCGATGACCGCGCTTGCGCGTTAATGCATCCCGAAGCGAACTACCAGTGCCGCCCCCCAACAAACGGGACGGCGACGGGTTCTGAACAGCGGATTTTGAGCCGCAAGTCTGACGTCGCTGTCGCATGCAGATATCGAGTTCAGTGCTCGGGGAAACAGCCATCTACGTCGCACCAAAGTCGCTGGAGCGCAAACAAAGAAGGCTCATTCGCTACCCGAGTATCGTGCCCCGGACCATCCCTCCTCCATTCCCCATAGCGGAGACGTCAATCCTCCAATGCGCGCTTTTTCTCCGCTCACATGAGCCGCACGTTCACCGCCCTGGTCCAGCCGGTACCCGTCGACAAAGCTGGAGTGGCTGCATCTGGAGATACCACCGATGTACGTGAATCGTCGGCGGACAGCCAAGGCGATTGCCTCCGCGGTACAACTTCGGATCGGAGCTTCATGTGGGTCGGTTTTTGGGGTCGTTGCAAGCATGGTGGAAGATGGTGGTGGTGTGATGGATTGATTACTGAGATCTTTTGGTTTCCATGGTTTTGGAGCCGGGGTCGAGCTTCCTTCCATGAAATTAGTGTAATTGGAGTTTGGAGTTGTCGCGTGAGGGCGTGCTAGCTGAGAAAGAGGAAGGAGCATGGAGATCTGGATGTTGGTTTCGGAGATAACAACACATGGAAACTCCTTACTCCATTCTACGTCTAGCTGATTATCGTTAGAGACCTTGGGACGAAGCCCATGACGGAGTAGGATGTTACGCGCGTAAGGACTTGTCGCATGGAGGCGCGCCGACCAAGGCAGAGACACAGCATGAAGATGCGGACAGTTCCTTTTGGGTATAGCAACATATCAATAATTCGGTCAGTAAATTGGAACTTTAGAAGTGCTTTCCATTCTTCTATCGTCAAGAATAAAGCTTTTTGGGAGACGAGTGGCGTTTGGTATGCAGACTTCTCGCGTGAGGATGCGCTAACTGAAGGAGAGAAAGAGCATGGCGAGTTCGGCTTTTGAATGCAAGAACAACAGCTCATGATGAGATTTCGAGCTTCCAAAGGATAGATATGATTTTATATCTTCTTCTTGACTGAGAGCTGACAGCTTAATTCCATGTTTATACGCTCGAACGTGTTTGACGAGGTGGCAGCGAGTTTGTATAGCATAGTGGCGTACTGATCAATTGAATCTCTCGAGAGGCTCCTGAAGTGGCCCTCTTTATGTTTTGGAGCATAAGATTCATCAGGGTCGCTTTTGGGGAACGACGGACGGACGCAGAACATGTGGCTTTTTGGTTGAAGTTTTGCAGAATGTAGTAAAGGAAGTGTATGGAAGGAGTATCTCTTTGTGGAGAGCGGAGAGTCTTTTATAGCAATCTTGCGACTGCTGACCCAGACCACACAGTTCACTTTCTGGATCACAGATTCAGAGGTATAGGTCCAGTATATGAGAACCAAAAAGCCGAAGATCTTGGCAGCATGATCTTACTCATGACATCTTCCTAGGTCTCAGTCCGGTCACATCCATGGTATGCAAAACTAAAGTTTTTGGTAACTCATGATACGAACATATCTAAGAAGAACGTCGTATTGAAGACAGATAATCCAGCAATATATTCATATTTCCCAGTGTTTTAGACCTTCACCATTCGACCGAAGACATCTTGTGATTGCGCTGTCGTTTTCGTGTTTTCTCAAATTTAGAGAGCGTCAGAAATAGAAAATGAAAAAATAGAAGAAGCTTGAGAGTCTAGGATTGCCAAAGCAAGACATCTCAATTTGGTTCAGATCTCGAGCGGACCGCAAACATTGCAAAGTGGTGATTGGTTTTTGGTATCTTCTCAAGTGAAAAGAAGTGTAGAAAGAAGAGAGTCGGCGAACGGAAGACTGTCACAGCGTATGGCAGCAAACAACCGAATTTCTTTCCTTCGAACTCAGCCCCACAAAAAACATGGGCACACAATGATTAGGTTTTGGTACTTCGCAAGTTGACATGGGTATCAGAGGATAAGGTTGAGTGAACCGGAGAGATTGATTTTCCATTTGGAGAATAATTTTTAGGGTACGTCGAGAGCTGTCCAGGATATTTCGATCCGAGCGGCTTTTTGGATAAGATCAGACCAGGAAAGGCTTTTCATAGTGATGACAAGTGAGATCTCTTGGCAGGGGTCTTCGAATATGTCTAAATAGAGTTGTTGAAGGCTGTTGGTCGTCTTCTCTCGTGTACTACAATCAGAAAACCTTTCGTAAAGAAAGTCGGCAGCGAGAAGCAAACGTCTACAAATGGCGCAGGGTTTTGATTCCGAAAGGTCAGGATTGAGCGATTCCATGAGGGCTGATGTGAGTTGGTCGGGATAGTAAACAGAATATGTCTGGATGCTGCCAGTGATCGTTTTAGAGAAAAAGAAAGGGATAGTGGTCATAAAGGTGAGTCCATGTTTTTTTTTGAGAAGCACCCAAAGAGTGGGTGTAAAGGAGGAAGGAAGCATGTGGAGACAATGTAAGGCTTTTATACATGTCCTCAATGTCCTCTCAGTACGTGGCTATCAGTCTTTCCTTGTTTGTATGTTTGCCGGCGACATTCCCTTCCGCAGAAACATGCCGTCTCGTAGCAATATTTTTGAGACACGCAAAGCCAGCCATCCATCATCTCGAAGAGGTACAAGCCATGAGTTGAATTGCGGAAGATTGCTGGAGGACACATGATGATGGCAGCTTGATTTTTCAGTAGCCACCGCTAAGAAGAACATGAGACATGAGAGTGTATCTTGGTTGTCTTGGAGAGGAGCTCGAAAATAGCCATGGCGAGGTGGCCATTGTATTTCAATATCTCAAGCGATTGGCAAGAGACAGCAAACCGAGAACACGCACACCAGCGGGAACTGTATTGAAGAGGGTGCTCCGCAAACAAGCCATGGGAATTTTGAGTTGCGACTTTTGGTGTTTCATGTGGTCGGAAAGAAGAACAGGAGACATAATACGGACTCTAAATGTTTTGGAAAGAAGGCTCGAGGAAAAAATAGCATGTTGTACGACGACCCATTTTGATCCCTTGGGTGGTCGGTAAGAGAAGAGCAGAAAACATGTAGAGAGCCCTCAGCAGTTTTGGAAAAGAAGTTTCGAAGGACGAGTCATGGCGGTACTGCTAGTATTTTTGATGTTTGGAGAACAGGAGTAGTTGTAGGGGAAAGAAAAAGTAGGTGAGCTTCGCGAAATTTATATACACTGCCGCCGAACATGAGATGGCGATATCCGCCGTGTGAGTCACGAGTGACACGCATCAAGTCTTCGTTCCGTATTGTACATGGCGACCTATCTACAGCCATTTTAGTGAACCATAGTCTCCAGTGTGCCCACAGGCCTCTCCACAATATCGATACATCCATCCACGATGCTCTGCCTTGCTGGCTCACTGCTAACATTCTGGCCACCCAGATACAATAGCCAGACCAGCCTGCCAACCCTCTCATCTCTAACCTCGCCCAACCAACTGCTCTTGCCCATGACCTCCTGCTTGCTATTCGCTGCCTTCACAATAGGTTGGTACAGCGCACCTAGATGCCCGTTCTTATTCCGTGTCAGGATAATGACACTACCCTTGGGCGCTTTGCCCTTTCCCTGGAAGAGGTTCCTGAACTCCTTCATCGCCAGGCCAAAAGACTCATCCTGGAACTCGCCCTCCTCAACCGGCTTAGGCAAAGAAATGGATTTGTTCTCGGCAGCCTGCTGTCTGATCAACTCAGCCTGTTTCCTCCTCACTTCATCCGTGCGCGACGCAATTCCGCGCATCCAGCCATCTTGCAGATGCTTGAAGTCTGTGCCGCGGCAGGGTACAACTCGGAATGCCATGTCAACACCATCCATGCCGTTCTTGGCCAAGATGGACTCCCAGATCTTGTTGCTCTTTTCGGGGTCGAGCAGGGACTCGCGGAGGTCCTTTTTCTCATTAGGGATCAGGGCAGAGGCGGTGGGGTTTACGGTGTTGATGAGGTGGTTTTGGAGGGTAGAGAGGTCGGCGGTTTTGACGTAGAGGCCCACAACGTAGACTTGGACACGGAGGAAGGAGACTTTCCGGATGCCGAGACCGAGGAGTGTGTATTCGGCGTCGGTAGTGATGGCTTCAGGACCTGAGGTGTCTGTAGGGAGACGGATGGTGCGTGGGAAGTAGGGGACGTAGGATGTGCCTGTTTCGACGAGCTCGATGGCGTCGGGATCTGAGGCTTGCGGGTTGTCGGTGCCGCCTGGTGTTGCGATGACTTTGTCGCCTGCCGCGATGACCACCTTCTTTCCTTGGAACTCTTCTGCCGCCTTGCGCGGTGCGTCGTTCTGGATGGGTGGGCCCATGATCCTTTCTACGATGCCCCGGCGTGGCTCTTCACCTTTCTCTTCTAGCGGCGGTACGTCCCATAACCTGACGAGGAAGATGGGTGCAATCATGGACAGTGCAGCACCCAGAGCGAGCCAGTTCCGCTTTTTTATCAATTGAGCACGACGCATCGCCTCTGCGCGATGTACCGAGACGAAGTCCTCATCTGGGCGAGGAACCTTGGGGCGGGCGCCTTGCTTGAGTATGGCTTCAAGATCTGCCCTACTGGAGCGCGTGTTTTGGCGAAATTGGGGGTTGGAGCGGAGGGGCGCAGGCGTGTTGAGGCAGCGGAATACTGGCCGCCGAGCGGCGTGTCTTATCGAGTTCATGGTGGCTGCATTGACCGGGTGATGTGGTGAGAGAGAGTGGAGCAGCTTGGACCAGGGCTCGATGATGTCGTCGCCGGTCTGAAGCGAGCACTTTAGCGTGGCTTTCACTGCGGCGCGTCGCGTCGGCCCTACAGAGTAAATCTACAGCCCACCTTGCAAATAGGTCAACGCTCGACACCCCGCCTTTGCGGCTTCTAGACGACACAACATGCCTCCACATAGACCAAGACGAGCGGAAGAAGCGACCCCGACCCCCACACAAACCCAACGGCGCAGACGAGATGATACACCCGAAGAAGACGAGGATGTCGACATGGACGAGGCAATGAACCAGGGCAGCGGCAGCGTTGACCAGCTGGCAAAAGGCTTGGTGCGATATGCCCTGTCGTGCGAACGTTCACGGAAGCCTATCAAGCGCCAAGATATCAATGTAACGGGTGGGCGCATTGGAAACCACATATGACACGGGACTAACAGTGGCAGTACTCGGTTCAACATACACTCGACTATTCAAGGATGTCTTCGCACAAGCAAACAGTCAGCTCATGGACGTCTTCGGCATGCAGTTGGTCGAACTGCCCAGAGCGGAGAAGGTGACACTGCGACAGAAGCGCGGTATGCAATTCATCACCACTGTGCTGTCTCTGACCTGACTTCTCTCAGCTGCCGCTGCCTCGGATTCCCAAAGCAAAAACACAAGTATTTGGGTTCTGCAAACCATCCTCCCCGACCAATACCGTATACCCGACATCATCGGCCCTTCGCGACCAATCGAAGAAGACATAAATCGAGAAGACTCGTACGTGGGACTATATACCATGGTCATCGCCCTTATCACAATCCACGGCGGTCTGATACCAGAGGGCAAGCTGGATCGCGCCCTCAGACGTATGAACGCAGATCAGACGACGCCCATGGGGACCAAGGACAAGACGCTCGCGAACATGATCAAGGATGGGTATATTGTGAAGGTCAAAGACACCCAGAACGGGGGCGAAGAGACGATAGACTATATCGTTGGGCCCCGAGGCAAGATGGAAGTCGGGCGGGATGGTGTCGCGCAGCTTATACGGAAAATATTTGGGGACAGCGAGGATGGGGACGAGCTGGATAAGAAGATTGAGAGGACGCTGCAGGTGGCTGGCGCGAATGACGATGCTGCGCCGTCGGTTGAGGCGGCCAACGTTGCATCGCAGGCGAACGGACGGAAACGTGGGCGGCCGAGAGGCGAAGGCGACGAGTAGGCTGGAGTCGAGCAGTCTGTTGGCGTTATGGAGAAGGAGACGACCTAAGATACCCTGTATAGTTGTACTGCATTATTCTTTGCCTCGAAACTCTGGCGATGCTAGTCGTGTTAGTGATGGTAGGTAGCTCCAAGCTCCCCTCGGAAGGATTCGAGGTTGCATCATCGGCCCAGCAAGCGCCAGAAATTGCCAACAACAAAGACACGACACCAGAGGAAGGAGAGGCTGATGGTGCAGTGCATGTGCTTGGATGGGTAGTTCCTTCCCCATTTGTCAGCGTCACGAGGTATTGGGCAAGCGCGACCCGGTGTTGAGCAATGGCTGCATGCAATCAAGGCTCACTGGAGCTTCGCTGCCGCCCCTCAAGCGCTTCTGCGCGCCAAGCTGATTGAAACGGCTCTATTTTCCACACCAACCGCCTTTGCGCCATCTTTCTCCTCATTCTCTCGTTCTCTCGCTCTTTGCCCTCGCCGTACGCATCCCCACCTCCAGCGCCATACTCCAAATCTGCAATGACTGCTTGAGACAATGAGCAGCATCGACTCCCTCCTCAACCCCGACGCTGGCCTCCGCCGCCCGTCTGTCACCAGCCCGACCGCGACGCCTGCCGACGACGCTGCCGATGCCCTGACGACACTGGCAACTTTGGGCAGCGGGCAGCAGTTCGTGCCCGCCCCGACGCGCGAGCTGCCCTCGCCAACTGCCTCATCCCACGCGCCGCGACGCACCAGCAGCTTCGGTTCCCACCACGCGCCTGTAGAGCCCTCGCCACCCCTCGAACTGCCCCAGGCTCGCTCGCCGACCCTGGAGCACTATCACCATGGGTCAAATTCGCCAGAAGAGCAAAAGCGACGGCAATCGCTGCTGTCGAGAACATCGCCCGCCCCAGTGCTCGCGCCTATACAAAATTTGTCCACAGCCCTGCAAGAACAGACCCAAGACGAGAAGGCGTCAACACCTATCGGCGAAGATGTGTCGCAAATTGTACCACCGGATCATGGCGGTGAAAGAGACAGCACCCAGCACCGCGAGCCTGCATTCGTGCGCGACGAACCAACAACTTCACAGATCCGCGAGCCTGAAGCGGCCAATAGCACACTACAGCCGGGTTCAAGTTTGCACAACGGCGACAAGCTGCCTTCACCGCAGCCTTTCATCAAGGACGAACCCTCTGGCACACCGCGCGAACACACACCTGCAGTTGCTGCTTCTCAATCCGAGCGACAAGGCTCTGTTACTGGCGAGAACATGGATGCCGATGCGCTCAAGGCGCTTGAGATTGCCAAGCAGAGCGATCTTGGACTACGGAGACGGAACCAGAGCGCTGCAGAGCGGTCAGAACGCGTACAATCACCTGTGGACTCGAAACCAGCACCTGCCCCGACCAAAAAACGACCAGCGCCAGCATCAGCCCCTGCTATCAAAAAGAAGGGTACAGCAAAGACGTCAAAGCCCAGCAAGAAGCGCAAGGTGGAGACGGAGGATGGCGCAGCACGGTCAGTCACGCCTACCTCGAGGATACCAAAGTCGGCCAGCAGGGCTATGAAGAGGGGCTCGCATGCCGGCACACCCGCTCCTGGATCCTCACCCGCACCAGACCGATCCGACGATGAAGGCGATTCATCTGAAGACCACAACCTGTACTGCATCTGTAAGAAACCGGACAACCACAAGTGGATGATTGGATGCGATGGCGGTTGCGACGACTGGTTCCATGGCGACTGCGTAAACATGAAACAAGCGGATGAGCAACTAGTCGACAAGTTTATATGTCCTCAGTGCGAGGAGAATGGCAAGGGCAACACAACATGGAAGCCAATGTGCAGGCGGGAAGGCTGTCGAAAGCCTGCCAGGGTAGGGAAAGACCGAGAAAGCAAGTACTGCTCTGACGATTGCGGAGTCCTCTTCATGCAAGAACAGCTTCAACGGACAGCAGGAGCAAAAGGCGCCAATGGAACAAAGGAAAAATCTAAGAAGAAGAAGAGAGTCGAGGAAGAAGAAGAACCAACCCCTCTTGGCGGCACTCTCCGAGCCAAAGACCTCAAAGCCCTTGTCGACGCCTCGCCAAACATCCAAGCCTTCAAGAACCTAGGCACCGGCGTTCTCACACCTCCACAAACCGCTTCGCCATCCCGCGCGACCTTCCCCGCCAACGGCGAAGACCTTTCCCTTACCGCTGGTGAGATCGAACGTTTGACCGCCCTGCACAAAGAGAAGACGCAACTCAAAGATCGGTTAGAGGTACTCAAAGACCGCGAGAAGTTTGTCAGCATGGCCAAGGAACAAGCTGTGCGCCTCGCCGACCGCGAGAAGATCAAGATGAAGGATTTCTGTGGTTACGACAGCAGATTATCATGGTCCGATGCTGAGTTCCTACTTTGGCGGAATAGCAAACACGGCCGGGCTGCCTTCCACCACTCCACCCTGAATCCCACCCCAGAACAGATTTCTTCGACGCCGACGCCTGCGGACGGCGCGGATGCAATGGACATTGATGGTGGCGTAGATGGAGAGGAGAAAGAAACAGCCTGTTTGAAGAAGCGCTGCCAGAAGCATCCTCAGTGGCAGAAGCTTAACCTGCAAGATGCCAGATTTGAGGAATTGGAGGTTGTTGAGGCTATCAAGGAGTGTGAGAAGGATGAGCGATCCGTACGGGATCGTGCGAGAAGAAGAGGCGCAAAGGATGGTTTGGCGAAAGAACTCACTGGTGGCGAGGACGGGACCAAGGTGGAGAGGAATAGGGATGGATGGGTTGAGGTTGTTGGTTCGTGACTGACATGACCTCGATCGATTGTTCTTGTCAATGGATGGACGATATTGGAACGGAATGAAAAGCTTGGATAAGGCATATACCCCCCATTCCTTTCGATGCGGTATCTAAATATTTGGGCGTTTTTTCTTGGAGGTTATGGGAAAAATTTAGCGACAACGCTTTGGGCAACTCATGGTTCTTCGCGACTCACAAACTTGGTTATACCATTCATATCGGATAGCGATTTCTCATAGCTAGTGTTAGTATGGTTTAATGACTAGGCTTATTCTTCAGGCTGAGTTTTCTGGTGACGACGATCTTGTATGATCTCGGAGAGGCTATAACGAATTTCCGGGACTTGGAAACCGTCGAATAGGACGAGGTGGCGTCCGACACAGCGATACGGCAATACGTCTATCGGGTATAAAATCTTCCTTTGCTCTCTCCTTCTTCTTCTTCCTCCTATCGTACACTCAAAATTTTTGTCTTCCCCAGAATATGCGTTTACCACCCATGGTGTTCTCCAAAACCAAGGTATGGTCAATCAATGACCTTCCCTAGCCTTCTTTCTGGCTGCTCAAAACAACCTTGCAGCATGTCATGTGTGGCGGCAGATCCTTATTCGGAATGCAGTAAAACCGATACCTACTACGATCATTGTCTAAACAAATCTTCTCTTTCCAGCGGTCATATATAAACACCGTCTGCTCCGTCAAGTACCGCTCTTCTTCCCTATGCTTGGGAATCTGTTTCTCCAAAGTCGCGAACGAAGAAAACATGGAGTTTTTGGAAGGACAACCTAGACAAGGCATGATCTTCGCTGCCTTGTTTTTCGTCCAAAAGAGAGAACTATACTACATGCGCGCGTGTATTCCAAAAGTGTTCCTCCCTCTTCTTACTGGATACGATGATAACGCTACTCATTTTGTTGCTCTCGACATGATCATTGGTATACTATAACCGACCAAAGCGAGAGACAATAGTTTCAGCTCAGAGAAAACACCAGGGGGTTTGGTGTCTGCCTCCTGAAAGACGAAAAAGAAGACATCATGAGAGAGAAAGCAGAGGAGAGCGAATATAAAGTGTTATCATAAAGAAACGGTGCTCCGAAAGGGAGATGTGCTGGTTGAGAAGTTATGGGTATAAGAACGATCTTTCGCCAACCAAGCTGCAAGCCTCTATCAACCTCCGACTCTTCGTTATTCCCAAAACAAAAACAAACTACAGAGTGGACATGGAAGTCAAAACCCAGTTCGAGCTTCCCGATGGGTTGAGACTTCCCGTCTTCCTCTTATCTACACAGCACTATTTGTCGACAAACACTGAATTTTTACTTTCACACGACTTCTAAATCTTCTCTGTTGCAAAAGATAGATTTCACCAACACATGGAGACTAGAAATATCGACACTTTCGATTATTCTGTGAAACTACGTAGTTTCCGTCGCCTCGCAATTGAATATACCATTTGCCTACTGGACGTCTACACCAATGTTCTTGCCCAAGTCTTTCCAAAAGTCCTCGGTTGCGTTTTATGTGGACTGGGAGAAATAGTTGCCCAGACCTACGCGGTGGATCTGGCTGTTTGCTTTCTGCAAGTATAAATGATCACCTTCCGACAACCAAACTATTACTCCAATACCAACTTCCAAGCTTTTTCTTGGTTAAAAAAGGATGGGAAGATTACATGATGGAAGTTCAAAACACGAGGAGCAAGAAACATGCTGCGAGACGATTTGTCCTCTTCCCACTAGCATAAAGCGCTATATTCCCCAGCCACCCCTCAGCTTGCTATACCTATCTTCAAACTTCCAGATTTCTAGGATCCAAAGCGTCGAATCCATGGGAATTTGCAGTAGTGATGAGTCAATGACATGCTGAACGGCTATTACTCTGCTTGCATATATCTCACGCTCAACGTTTTGGATCTTACTCACGAGTTGTGTTCTATGTCTGTGTCCTCCCTTCGGATCGCCTACAGATCTGCGTTCGACAGTCGAGCTATCTGTCTTTCACCAAAATCGTATCCTGAAACTTTTGGAAAACTCATCTCAATCCATTCAACGCAAGTCAAAGAAGTCGATCGCGACTGTGATGAAGCTAATCAACTGGCGTGTTTGTGTCAAAATCAATTGGCAAATAGTAGGACTGTGTGCGAGAAGACATCTGAAAGTACGACTTTCGATCGGAAGCCCACAACCAGGCATGTGCATCGATTTCCTGGTCTGTTTGGACAGGTACACTAGGAA